GGGCCGGCCTCTTGGGCCGGCAATGAAAGTTCATTGCTGGACCTGTCATCGTATTCATTGTGTACAACGATCAGGATTTTAGGAGATTTGAAGGTTCTGGTCAAAAAAAACCTTCCCCCGGGGACTTCTGGCCACAACTAGGTAGCCCGAAATGAATCCCTCGGTAGGACAGGTAGGAAGTTGGTCGATAATTTTACACGTAGATAAGCTAGAGACTTATGAAAGACAGCGAAACTGGAGCAATCATTAAAAAAGTCGAATATATGGGGTGTACGCGCAGAAATACCATATATTTCGCCGGAACTTGGGCCGGCAATGGCGACCTCGGCCCGGCCCAACGGGCCGGGCCCCGGCAAACTCAGGCCCCGGCCGGCCCGGCGGCCAGCAATCAAAATAATTAGGGGAAACACTGGTATCTACCTACCTAACTTCCAGTGTTGATCGTGATGGGCCATGGCCCGTGTGGCTACAGCGTTTGACAAAAGAACAATGTGAGATGATCAAGATAAGTCTGTATTTGTGAAGTACTCAAATGAGCATACCGCCGCGCCTCGCAGAAGCGCATTCAGCAAAGGGTCGCCGGTGGTAGCAGTAACCCATGGCGTAGCCGAGACATAAGAGCCATGGAGCACGGTCTCCGACAGGACCGGAGTAATTAGATGTGGACTCTGTAGCTTGCTGTGGCTGCAAGCCTGTCATGTTCCTCAAAACTATCGCACATTATTAGAACGAAAAACCTGATCCGACATGCCATGAGAACCTTTATGGCATATTCGGCTATACAAATGCAGCATAATGGAAAGAGACCATGCGCGCGCAACGATAAATTTTCCACCCATGAGCGATTCGCAATTGGTCTCGCCGCGGCCCAATAGACTCGCGAGTCTATTCGGTCAACCCCGAGTCAACGCGTGATGTAAAGCCGCAATATTGCATATAGCCTTGAACATCTCCTTACAATGCCATCTAACATGGGTCTAACACATGAACCAATCTCAGTGGTCCTATACGGTACTAACTATGTACGCGCAATCGGCCAGAAACTCAAAGCTCCTTAGCCAGTAGTCGAGATGTCGTTATATTAAATTTGGCCGTAGCGAAAAGCAATCAGCAAAAGGCAATTATCATTCATTATTCCTTATCATGCTTCTCCGGCCCGGCGGTCTGCACACTTTGAGTCTGAATTGCTCAACCATGCATGCAGCGGCACCGCTGAATCATAATCATTATACCAACGTGTGTCTTGTAAACCATGGGCCGTCCGAAACCAAATTCACATGCCATTCATATAACGGTCCCAATCCTATCATTTTGATTTTCGCTTGCATGTGTTATATAGGACAAGCTATAACCGATTGAAAGACTTGCGTGTCTCTTTTTCCAAAGGCTTTTCTTCTCATCCTCGGAAGGCTGTCTTTTTTCCAAAGGCGCTTTTCTTCTCATCCTCGGAAGGCTGTCTGCAAAGATTTGAACACGCACTAAGTTCGCGGAGAGTATTGAGATTGAAGAAGGTAGAGCTTCTATCGATTGTCCAGCCGGAACCATGGCGGCAGCCATGGCAAGATTCTTATAAAGGGTGCACGCCCCCAAGACTACTAGATAAAACAACATATCGAATCAACGACAATTCTTGAGCGAAATCGTCACATGCACAAGATGGGACCCTAGTATAACCGGAATGAGAATGCTAGAATGCGTGGAAGGAGCTAGTAGGGAACCAATCCCGCAGTTTTGGGACTCTCCCAGGCTCTAGTACCCTTTCCGGCGCGCAGGTCGGTTCGAACTTCGGGGTCCGGCCTAACTCCTGATTAGTTTCGATCGTTTCCACAATCTTCGTTGGATCCCTTGTTTGTTGATCGCATCCAAGATCAGCCTACCCGTTGAAAGGTACAAGGACTACAGAGCTACTACAACTTGCAAATGTGTTTACCTACACAACTTACCTATCTGCACAAGCGCCATCACCTTCTGCACGCAACTCAGAAGCTTACCGTCTACTATACCACTGCTAGCCTAGATTGTGTTCGATTACATAGCGACCTAAGTAAGCCTTCGAGTTGCGTCTATATACTTACCTGCCTTGCCTGTAGAGGCCCACTCCGGTTTCCACAATAGCTTCCATACCCTCTTTCATGATCTGTTCACATACAAGCTTTACGGATGCAACTAGGTTCCTACCAGTCCGAGTGGCCACTTACGAAGTGGACATTTTTTCCTAGCTTTGAACAAGCAGTGGCGCTAGGCGTTGCTTTAGTTCCACTGCTTCCGCTTCTGACAGCTTGCCTACGGGCTCCCGAGTCAGCGGCCCTCGGCTGCTCAGATGCGCGGGCCACAGCTTCGAGACGACGTCCATGTGGTGCGTGGGCACGGGCAGCGCCGCGACCTGCCCGGAGATGGCGTCATAGTCCACTACGGCGCCCTCTGGCAAGATGCGGCGGCCCAGCGCCGCAAGTTGCTCCCGCTCAGCTGCGCTGGGGTTGGAGATAGCCTCAAAGGGGACGACCTGCGTGCAGATGGCCTTCCACTTGGCATGCTCCGCCACGTACTGCTCCATCACGGGCACGATGTGACTGCACGGTCGCCCATGACACGGCTCAGCGGAGCGTACGGTGATGCAGCCAGTCTCTTTCAGGGTGGAGAGGCCGCAGAGAGGACACACCAGGATGCTACAGGGGCACAATTGAGTGCACAACGATTCTCATGTTCGACCATCTTTTGAAAATTTGTACGGGGCCAAAAGAAGGGCCATACAAGGGGTCCCCTTCGACTCCTTCCAGACTCTTCTGCTGATGGCATTTGCTGGCACTACTACGAACAAGCGCTTGGCTGATACACGGCTGTTAGGACCACTTCAAACATAATAGTATGGAAAATCAGTGCAGCAGAAGCTCATGCAGCTCAAAGCCACCAGAGCACATGTACGCATTGCCTGACCCTGGTCGGCCCAGCCTGCCAGCGGCCTCCTCCGCCGCCCCGCCTGCTGGGTGTGCGGGGCTTACTCGAGGCCAGGGCTGAGCCAGCCAACTCGCAGGTAGCTGCGGACGACCCCCGCAATGTCGCGCTCCGTCAGGAAGATGACGTCCACGCTGGCGGGGTCCCACTCGGACGACCAGTGGTGCGTCTTGACCACCACGTGTGCCGCGTCGGGGCCCGTCCTGCACAGGCCCCTGCCACAAGCAAGGACATGGAGTGAGAGCAAGCGGGCAGGTACTTGTGACCAGAGCCAGGCGTTCAATGTGGATTGTGGAAGTCGTCTGACTAGCATTTACTTTGGCTCCAAGCAAGCCTCGAGGATAGTTGGGAGGTTGGACGACGAAGAGTCCATATGAAGAGTCTGGCTGAGGTTGCAACAAGGCCAGTCATGAAAGAACCGCGACTGCGCAATCATGAAGGTAGAAGTGGTGGGTGAGTGGTGCACAGAAAATTTGGGGCCAGACGAGAGTGAGGGACAAGAAGCAGTGACGTTTACATACCCTTGCCGTAGCTCAGTATAAGCATCCACTCACGGTGGATATTTTGGTGCGCCAGGCTGATTGGGGGATACCGGTACATACTGTGACTGGAGAGTCTGACTCTGATGTCACATATTGACGCGGGCTGAGTGGTGGTGGTATACAGCTACGGCTACAGCTGCTCCAGTAACCAGCATTCTGAGTTACCCATCCATGAAACGCTGGCATGCGGAAACAGAATTGAGACGCGGTGCCTCACCTTTTCACAAGCACACTCTGCGTCAGATGCTGGATCCAGTAACTGTGCACGCGCTCGCCCGTAGCCTGCGCAGGGGAGCAAGACACAACTAGAGTTCTGCTGGGAGCGCACACTGACCCCAGCAACGCTTTCATTCAGTATTGTCAAGAAGTGAGCACCTAATGCAGGGCTGGGCGTGCTCTTGGCTTAGCCGTACTGCAGATAGGACGGTGTAATGCTTCCTTTGCTGGACTCCTGAGCCCTGCCCCAACATGGTGTAAACCTGCGCTCTGCGCAACGTCAGACGTCTAAACGGTGTACGATTTGATGTCAAGTCCTTAAGCCCGTGTGCTATTTATGCAAGTCTTGTTTAGTGCCGCCCATGGTCATATTCTTGTGGAGAATCCCACTCCGGAAGTGCCTTACTTCTAGTCAATAGAACCGCGGCGAGACCGAGGTTCAGCAGGCGAGAAATAGATGTCCAAGCCATGAAGCCATGAAGCCCTCACAAGTGGACCCTCACTCCTAACCCTAAAAACGAGTAACATCTTGGCACACGAGCCCGCAGGCTGGCTGCCACCGCTCCTCCTCCTGCTCCTCCTATTCCAAACCTGGCGCGACGCTGCTCACCTGCAGGATGAGGCGCACTGCATTGAAGAGCCAGGTGGAGCCGGAGCGCTCCGGCCCTGCGCACACCACCACCATGCCGCGGCCCCCGCGCGGCACGCGGCACGCGCGGGCCACACAGCTGGCCGGCAAGTGCAGCAGCTCACACTCGCCGCCCAGGCACGGCCGCTGCGGGTGAGCCGCCTTGCTGCCACACAAGAGCGGCTCCGCCCAGACAGGGACCATCTTGGAATCATCGTCAGCGGAAGACGCCCCATCAGGAAGCAGAGCAGCACCTTCAGCAGGGTGGTTTGCTGACGCTTCTGGCTTCCTCCTCCTCAGGAACTCGCCCACCATTCTGGATCGTGAACAATGCTGCAAGCCAAATGCAAGGTCCTTTGCACCCACGACTCAAACGTTGGCGGAAGTGCTGCGACCTTGTTTGGAGTGAGACACAAGATTGTTTGGAATGGCAGAAGTGTTTCGAATCTGCACGGGCCGTTCAATTTCCGAGTTCAACCTGGAACTTGCAAATTGACATTGTTCTGCTTTCTTTGTCAGACTAGAGCCTCAGGTGGAGGCAGGGATCCCTTGAATGCATATAACGGCTCTGCCTCCCGTTCCAATATGTTAAGTAATCGTGGTGAACCTGATTTAGAAAGCGGCTTTGACAGGACTACAAAACATCCTCATTTTCGAATTCTGTTTGAAATGAATCGATCCATCGACTGTTCGATAAATCCTAATATTTCCTCTTATTGTTGCAGATGGTCGCTTCAACCATTGGCATGAACAGAAGTGGAGCCTGAGGCCCAGGGCCAGGGCCTGGAGGGTCTGGTTGATGGCCGCTGAGCACCATTCAAACAGAGACGATCAAAATAATAGTACCTAGGCATTGCAGCGACGTTGGCCCGAGTACTGTACATATGTGCTGGTGGCGCACAGGGACACTTCGTCAAGCATGATTCTCGCGCCAAGGTCCATCCTGTGCAATCTCACCCTAATCGCACCATTGACGTGCTCCAAGGATGGTGGCAAATTGGCTCACTCTGATCTGTGACTTCCTGCCCTTTTGTTCAGTCAGCATTGACCGCCGCATCAGCCCATTTGCAGTGCAATCGAGAGCATTCCTGGCAGCTGCAACGTGACGTGCTGCAGAACGAGCGTGCACTAATGGCGGGAGCTGGGCTGGCCAGCAAGTGGGGCTTGCTGGTGGCCTGCATGTGGATCCAGTCGTGTGGGGGCAATTCGTACAACTTCGCCATCTACAGCGCCGCAATTAAAGACAAGCTGCGGTATGACCAGGTATAGCACACCAACCCCTGCATCGCCCACTTGGCCCTGAGTCAGGGTTCATTGGATTCTGGAGTTTTGGAACGCCAGATTGCGCACCGGGCGGTGGGTGCCCATGTGCAAGATGCTGTGGCTTTTTCATCGATGAAGAGCAATCTGCAAGAGATTAGAATGTTGATCATGGTGTGGTTATGTATTAATCCAGAAGCTGGCTTGGACGAGACCCCAGTAAAGGCCGCGCAATGCTGAGGGCGCGCTGTAACTTTCTGGGCTTGAGGGTTGGGCTCATCCTATGTTACAAGCTCAAGAATCTGGTATGGTGTCTGGTGCAAAGGTGGCCGGCATTCGGGTCATCAAGGATGTCACTTGTTTAGGCATGCTTTGTTGCAGACGCGGCTGGACACTTTGGCGGTGGCCAAGGACGTGGGCGGCAATGTGGGCATTCTGTCAGGCGTGCTGTGCGATGTGCTGCCAGCATGGGCCCTTCTACTGATAGGCGCCACCCAGAACCTCGCGGGCTACTTGGGCCTCTGGCTGGCCGTTACGGCAAAGATTCCGGAACCGCCACTGTGGGGAACAAGTATCCTCATTTGCCTAGGTACGCAAGGGACCTCTGTCCTATCATTGTTTGAAAGCTGGACCAAGGCGCAATGTCTTCGCAGATTTCGTGGCAAAGTTGCTCATCCAAGCAGCTTCAATCTATGCAGCATCTTGAATGCTTTTGTGGACCTGGTAGATGACGGCCACGAAGAGGCCCTGCACTTCAAAGTATCCCCGGCTCACCTCTGCTGTGTCCTCCGTTGACTGTCCCGTCCTTGTCCTTGCCGCTGGCAGGGACCAACGGCGCCACCTTCTTCAACACGGCTGTGCTCGTGACATGCTTGCGCACCTTCCCCCACAATCGCGGCATGGTGCTGGGCTTGCTCAAGGGCTTCATTGGCCTCAGCGGCGCCATCTTCACACAGCTCTACCTCGTGCTCTACTCGCCGGATCAGGTCGCTCAGCCCCCTGCATGTCTGATGAAACATTGAAAGTGAACTGTAGAGCTGTTTGTTTCTCAGCTGCTGCCTCTGCTTGGACAATCGCCTCCAGAAGTCGAGAAGCGAATTGAAAGAGTAGTGCTTGTCAAGGCAGTCCCACTCAAGTTGTTGATGCCTTGCGAGGGTCCGTACATTGTGCCACCCCAGCATGCCTGCGAGACAAGCCATGCACCCCTCGTCGCGACAGGTTCCTGGCTGTCTTGTGCAGGTCTCCTTTTTGCTACTGATTGCGGTGCTGCCGGCGGTGGTGGCGGTCCTGCTGTCCCCTCTAGTTCGAGAGCAGCCGCCAGCTGGCGATGAGGACAGCGAGCCCGCGCAGGAGACGTCCACGCTGCTGGCCCTGTACGGGGCGAGCCTGCTCCTGGCCGCCCTCCTGCTGGCCGCCATGCTGGCCCGGGTGAGCCACAAGCCGCAACAACGGCAGTGGCGGCTTAAACCGTCCTGCCCAGTTGCTAGCATGCCCAATCACCCACGGTTTAAAGACAATACTGGCATAGATTGTTGATCAAGATGCATGGTGCGGCACCCATTGCCCTCCGCCGACAATTCTAGGCCCTTCGTTCTGCATACTGCACGTTTGCTGTCCACTCAGGAGCTGCTGCCCGGCAGCATGCGCTTGAGCGCCGGTCTGACCGCGGGCATCCTGGGTCTGCTCTTCGCCCCCGCCCTCGTCTCACTGCGCGCCTGGCTCAGACGGCAAGAGGCAAACGAGCCGGAAGCGCAGAACCTGCTCGAGGACGGAACGGGCCACACGGCAGCGGGGCAGAGGAACACAGAGGGCGTGCATGCGCAGCTCATGCCCGGGCCTTGGGATAGCCGCTCCGTGGTGGAAACAAATGACAGGAGGGGCGGCCTGCGAAGCACAGAGCCCCATGCAGCAGCCAGGTCGACGGAAGCGGAGAGCGCTGAGGGTGGGGCCCAAGTGCGCGAGAGTACAAGGCCCGCACGGGGCTCGGACCACACGCTGGGGCAAGCGGTACAGGGGGCGGACTTCTGGCTGCTTTGCACGTCGCAGATCATTGGAGCGGGCTGCGGCCTGACCGCCATCAACAAGTGAGGGCCAGCTCCTATTCTGTTTGATTTGAAGCAGATGGAGGCACCTAATCATGCTCATCGAAATTTTTGGGAGCTTTTGTTTGGATAGCGGTAGAAAAAGCTCATGCGTTACACAGTGCTGCGTTTGATGACGCCTACCTTGTCATGGGTCCGCAGGGAAGGCACTCCTTGATTTGAAATGAAGTTTCTTGGCACCAGACTTTCATGCGAACCCCAGCCCTGAATAAAGTTTCCGAAATCTGGTAATTGAAAGTTGCTGTCTTTGAAGTACATTTGACTACGTGTTTCCTCAAGGCCCAACCCGTGGCGACATTGGGCCTATGCACACAATAAGAGACCGACGCCCGAGACCGCACGAACTAACCTGTTCGTGATGTTTGGACAGCTCGGTCTTTGAGTTCTGGGCATCGGGGCATCGAGTAAGGGTCACCACAAGGACCCCATTCGTGGATCCAAACCCGAAGCTCCGTCTGCCTGATCAGTATTTCAGTGGCAACTCTCGGAATCCTGAACTGGATCCAAGCCCCGTGATTTCTTTCTTTCGTGTGTTGAGCCCGCCCTTGTGGTGCGTGTGCGCAGCCTGGCCCAGGTCGGGGCTGCTCTCGGGCAGGCCCGCAGCGTGGGCGTCCTGGTGGGGCTGGTCAACGTCTGGAGCTTCCTCGGGCGCATCGCGGGCGGGGCCGTCTCCGAGTACTATGTGCGCGAGCGGGGGGCGCCGCGGCCCCTCTTCCTGCTCTTCGTCCAGGCGGCCATGGCAGCGGGTGAGCCTCGCACAGCAAGGGAGAGGCAGCGGCTTGATATATCTCGCCACGTTGCTCACACGCTTTCTCCATTTTGTGTTTTTGAACGCTTGGTTGCTAACGAGATGTAGATCGTTGAAAGTTGCTCTTCGGTAATCCATCTGACATCAAAAATTGGAGTGAGCCTCCAGCTGGCGAGTCTGCTCCGTTGCTGCCTTGGCTCGTGCTCCAGGGCACCTTTCCTTCGCGGCCGCCGTCCCCGGGGGCCTCCACGTGGGCTCGGTGCTGGCCGGCGTCACGTACGGCGGGCAGTGGGCGCTCATGGCCGCCACGGCCAGCGAGCTGTTCGGGCTGGCGCACTTCGGCACGCTCTACAACGTGCTCGCCATGGGCAGCCCCGCCTCCACGTACCTCCTCTCGGCACGCCTAGCAGGTGACGCCCCGTACTCCAGCCTCGCGCTGCCACCAGCGGGACTCTGCCCGGAGGCAGCAGGTCTGCCCCTCGCTCTCTAACTCCGCGGCCGTATCAAGGACGTGAAGCCTTCAAGTGGCCGTCCACAAGTTTCACAGCAACCCAGTCGAAGTAGAGGGAGTTGTTTGATAACGGTGAGTGAACAGGTTGGATCTACGACAAGGAGGCCAGGCGACAACGACGAGCGGCCTGGCCGGCCGAGTCCAGCGGCAGCTGCACGCTCAGCCGGAAGCTAGTTAGCACAGCTACCACGCCTTTCATGCTGGCCGTTGAAGGCAAACCGGACGAGAGCTGGGGTCTGCATGGAGGACGGCCCAAGAGGCAGGCCCGGGCATCTCGTGCAGGGGCTTGGGCGTCAGCTGTAGCGGCGGAGCCGGGCAGCCGGGGAGGGAGAGCGCCGGCTCTTCGACCAGACTGTCCACCCACCTGTAGCGGGGCGCATTGTTTTCGACTCACCTTCCTGATCCTGGCAGGAGTGTGTGCGCTCGGCAGCGTAGTCAATGGCTGGCTAGCTCTTAGAACGCGGAGCTTCTATCGAGAGAGAAGGCAGGAGGGGTTAAGGAAAGAGGAGACGAGACAACGACACTTGAATGCTGGCTAGAACAACGGTGCCACCTCTTTTAAGCCTCAACCTGATTACAGAGAGCATGAACATGAGTGAACTCGACTCGTATCTGCTCCACTCGTGCCAAGCTTCTCGGGTCAACTAAATCTCCGGCCCAACTTTATGTTCTGCTTATTCGAGACTGTTTGTGGTGAATGGTGACCTTGCCTCGTTTCCATCGTGTTCTCATCCGAGGAAACCGTGGAACTAGTAAGATCTTGCACACGTGAGCTCGAACTTAGTAGCACATCATTCTGTGATGTACGTACCTACATTGCCATGCGCGGCCCTAACATGTAGGACGGTCAACAATGCACTGGCTGATTTTTTATGCATGTTTCGTACAAGCTACCGTATCTAGTCACTATATGCATGCGATGCCTAATCATCTTGGTGGCTCCGGCTACGGAGGCCCTGCCACATGTGACTTTACTGGCAGATCGATTGCTCAATCGTCTTTGCAGCCCCGCAGTGGTGGTTAACGGGCCCGGCCCGAACTAGGCAGTGCTTGAACTGACAGCGAGCCACCAATTATTCAACATGGGTCTAAAACGAATCCCGGCCCATGTCGAAGTTCGACGTTGCATGTTCCATCTGAATTAGGTAGCTGCTATCACGAGGCAAGTTTGCCATGAGCTTTTACAGTATTACACTGATCAAGTACACTGTCATCTGACTCGGACATCTGGTAGATATGGTGGAAGCATCATATAAATTATACTCGAAGGGGCTGAGGAAATGGGGAAGAAAGATCATGCAATGCCAATTACATAGCAACATACCTTGTGTCAACATACCTTGTGTCGACAGATCATTGCGGCCCCCCAGAGGTCGCAGCTGATCCTATCGGACGGTCGAGCCTCGAGGCCGACCTCCAGCGTCTTGTCAATCTACGGTCGTATCGGTCTCTCTCGTATCGGCAAATACTCAAACCTACAGCGAGAGACCACCATGACCAAACCCTAATTTCCAAGTGAGTGACGTACCGGTACAGAAGAGAATTGCAAAGAGGCGCCCGCGCATGCAGAACAGGATCACTTTCTTGGTGCATCTCCAAAGTCAATGCTTCACTATCGTAGCGCTGGCAGCATTCATGGCTCCCGGTCCGATGGCTGGTCTGGGAAAGTTGTTGGAGGTGCAGGTTGCTCGCCACGTCCGCCCACGCGTTGGAATCATTGATTGCTGTCGCAGGGACATCCATGGAGGGTTGGTGGCCTCAAAGCCTGCCCCTGAGAGTACCGCACCCAAGCTAGGGCCAGTGGGAACAGCGTCCTTTGACGATTTTGGATCAGGGTCCTTTCAAGCAGCAGATCAGGCGGCCTGCTCCGCAGATCCTTTGAATTTGGAGGACACTGAGAGACTTTACTCTGCCCTCAGCACAGGAGAACTTGCAAAAGGGGTGTTTAATCTGTCATTGGTGGGAAGTTCGCTCATGGTGGATGCAAGCTCAAAGTTACTGATGTCAGACCTTATGAAGAACAAGTTGTTTGCAGCACCTGTGAATTGGGTTGTGCGGAGGACAGCATATTCTCACTTCTGTGCGGGTAAGTGCCGGCACACGATTATGTAGCTTCTTTATGGAGGTCGTGGTCCGAGAGGTCTGAGAAAGGGAGTGATGTTCCTTTGAAGGCTCACTTCTCATGCGGTGGCCCAAGCGTCTTCTTGCATCCCTGTCAACCCTGTCGGGTAGCAGGTGGCAGTCCTATAGGGGCCTGCTTCTCAGGTGGGGTTTGGCCGCCCCTGGAACTCAGGCAAGGCATCTAATCGCAGGGATCGAATTCCACGTCATAGATACGGTTGGCATGTCCTGTGCAAGCTGCTGGCCTGCCTTTGCATGTTGTCGGACCCCATCTCTCACTTCACTTCGAATCCACGCAGGAGGCACAATTGAGGAGGCCAAAGCGACCCTTTTGAGAACTTCAGAATTGGGTTTGAGGAGCATCCTGGATTACAGGTGCGCGGCAAAAGCGAGTCATGTCATTTCCTGCACAAAGCTGAGGATCTCCCAGTTTTTTACTTTGAGCACGACTATGAGGTTTACATAATATTGGTTGATTGGTCGCTTTCTTGCAAGGCTTATGAAGGCATAAGTTATGTGGTGATGTTTCGGTTTCTGCTCAATGACAACTGCTGGCGCCAATATTTTAGAGGGTTGTTGACCACACAGGGGTCAACTGAACTTAGTTGCAAGGTGAGTTGCCGTTGAGATCTTTTCTTCCTTGCTTTTGCAGTGTTGAGGATGCGATGGACGCGGCTACTTGTGACAAGAACCTGGCTGGCAACCTGGAGACGCTGCGCCATGTGGCCGCCCTACCACGCCACTGCTCCAGCCATTCCGTTGTCAAGATCACCTCGTTTGTGCCCCTGCCTGTCTTGGAGCGAGCGAGGTTAGTTGGCGCCACCTTGTGTCTAACACCACTGGAGTCAGCTGGCATGGTTAGTTTCAGTCCTGCTAGCACTCTCAAACAGCGCTCTGTCAGAAGTCCTTTCCCCTTATTGAAGGAATTTTTGCAAGCATTCTCCTGACTCTGCCTGAGGCCCCCTTCTTTGTTGTCGTTGTTGTGGCAGTGCCCTGTTGCGCTGGCAGCATCAGCACCCATCGGTGGACCTCCCCTGGAAGCGGCCCTCCTTCCCCGTGCTGGCCCCCGGCAGCATCCTCCCCGCCCAGGGTGAGCGCCAGGGCCTAAGGCACCTGAAATGGAGGGGTCCGAAACAATTCTTACAGGAATCCATCAAATGCTTGGACGCGCTTGGATCTCGGCGTCGTAGAAATACGCTGGTGACTCTCACGCATAGCAGCTGTCTTCTTAGGGCCTCACCTCTGCTGGATACAGCGACTGAGTCCCTTGTGCCTGGCTGCAGCGGAGCCTGCCCCGCTGTCCCCTGAAGAGGTGCAGAGCTTGGAGGAGTGCCTGGAGCGGCTGCGCGCGGTGTGCCGGGCGTGCCATGACCTGCACCTGCCCCTGCTCATCGACGCCGAGTACTTCTCCGTCCAGGTACCTTCTATGCCTCGCCGCACCACCAAGCGGGAGCAAGAGCAATGAGTTTGAGCTGTGCCCTGCCACAATGCTGGATCTGTTCTGAGCATGCCCTGCTCTAACTGCGGTCGACTGGGGTGTCTAGCTCTGCTGACAGTCTCCGTATGCACGTTGTTGCAGCCTGCCATTGACTATCTGGCGGGTGTGGCTGCGCTGGAGTTCAATCACGACTTCCCGCTGGTGGTGAACACGTTCCAGTGCTACCTCAAGGACACGCTGCCCCGCCTCCAGCTGGCCATCCAGGCCGCCCGCAGCGCCAACGTTGGCTTTGCGGCCAAGCTCGTCAGAGGTCAGCGCAGCCGGCTGCTCTGGGCTCGTCTCCTAGGATGTCATGATAACTGAGGGGGCAGCTAACGTCTCCACTCCTCTAATACTGATCACATGAAGACGCGTATGCGGGCAGTCGGTATTTGCGCTGGTTGCTTGTCATGCTGGTGCCTTGATGGCCTCGCAAACCTGTGTCAGCACCCCCTGCTCACGACACATCGCTGGCCTCATTCCTGCCGCCCCTGGTTGACCTTGCTGCCTGCAGGTGCGTACATTGTGAAGGAGACACAGCGCGCGGCAGCGGGCAGCTACGAGACCCCCATCCAGGCCGGGATCGAGGCCACGCATGCCAACTACGATCGCTGTGCGCGCCTCATGCTCGAGACCGCAGCGAAGAGCGCCAAAAGCAATGCGGTAAGCCCCTCACAGAGGTCTGGGGAGAGGCCATGGCGGGCATGCCGTGCCAGCCGCTTTCAAAGTCGAACGGCAAATTGCGCTGCAATTGTGGGAACGTTTGTGTGCACGAGGATGAGCCGCGGGACACGTGTGATGTGCTGGCTCCGGCATGGCCGCTGAGTTGAGCGGTGGTGGTGTGGGTGCAGGTAGTGCTGGCCAGCCACAACGCGGCGTCCGTGCGGCGCGCCATCAGCACGGCGGACGCCCTGGGCCTGGCGCGCAAGGACGAGCGCCTGCAGTTCGCACAGCTCAAGGTGAGCAAACAGCACACAGCCCGCCACACGCTCCAGGGAGTGCATGTTCGGCAAAGCTCCGGAGGCAGCCAGCCATCGACGCGGCTGAAGACCCTCATGCAAAGGGGTGTCCCGTGGGAGTTGTGGCGGAGGATGCTGCGAGGTCGCTTTCACGAGGTCGCTGGAGCCACCTATCTTGGTGGAGCAAGCTTTGTTTCAAGACTTCGGCCGATCCTTGCTGGTCAAGAGTTGTCTGTCCGTCGTTCTTCTGCCACTCGCTTGTAAGTATGCAATGGCAACGCTGTGCTGAGCGGGGCAGATATTTCATTACGAAGCCAGAGTCAGTGGTGAGACAGGCACCGTCTTACAGGCAGCCCAGCAATGTGTCGGACAGCAGTTTGGAGTGCGGCGTGCACAGATTGCGGCCCTCCTCGCCCCTAGCCGTTTCCGCCGACACACGGCCCCCTTTCCGTTTCCTCAACCTGGGGCAAAGTCGAAGCCCCGGCTCCCGTGTCTCCGCAAAGGACCCACTCGCTCGAGACCGTTTTCTGCTGCAGGGGATGGCCGATGCGCTCTCGCTTGCGATCGGACAGGCGGGCTATCTGTGCAGCAAGCTGCACCCGTTTGGAAGTCTGGAAGACACGAGTGAGTGGCGGGCCCCCTTGTGGTACAGCCTCACGACCGGTCAATTAGTCCCCATGCCCCGCACTCACGCACTCGGCCGCTTGCAGATGGCACCACGACCCCTCCTCAGGGTTCTCCGCGAAATTCAAACAATGTCACGGCCATTGCAAACACACTCACACTCACCGACGCACACACGACGGTTCTTACAGGCTGGCGCTGCCCATGAGTGCGTCGGAAGCCACGACACACTTTTGATGTTCTGACCCCCTGTCCGGCCCCCCCACCTGCTGCCTCACCCCACCACTGCCCGCTGCCCCCCCTGCAGGGCATGGCTGACGGCCTTTCACTCGCACTGGCACGCTCGGGCTTCAACGCGTCCAAGCTCATCCCGTTTGCCTCGCTGGATGCTGTCAGTGAGTGGGGGCACGATGACTGTCTGCCCGTTGTAGTCGAGCATAGCAGCCTGTGTCGGGTCTGCTTCGCCCGGTTGCAGCGAGTAGATCCAGTAGATGGCCCTGCGGTCTGATCGCGAATCTTTTTTCTTTGGAGGCTATGCGATTCCACATCTGCGAACAAGGGTTGACTGTTATCTGACGTCACGTCTCATCTGTGCAGTGCCTTACTTGATCAGGTAAGAGCACTATCTCGTTCAGTGGATTGTTTCCTAGATGACAGAGGTTGAGGGCTGATGTGCACGGTGTCAATATCAGCGCTTATCCTGATGAAAGTTTTGCTCTTCGTCCTTTCGCCTTATCTTGAGAGGATTGCTAGGATTGGGGGGTTCTTTCCTGTCAATCTTGAGGAACTGTCGCTTTGTCCTCGATTTTGCTTTTCTTGGCACTGCGATGCAATCGCTTGTGTGCAACATGCGCACTCTTCCGGTCGTCATCAATCTGTGCGTTGGTCATGACCAGGAGGGCGCAGGAGAACAAGGGCATGCTCATGCAGGCAGGCACGGACAGGGCGCGCTTGCAGTAAGTCCTCACCTCTGGTCGTGCTTGCATAGCCACCGCGTTCCGGGCACGACTGTCTACCAGGCTGGCTACGAGGCTTGTTTAGCAGTGGAATCTGCACTTCCTAGCTGACCCAGTCCGATTCTCTCACGTCGATTTCTGAAGTGGTCTTTGGCTCCACTCTTTCAGGCACGAGTTGCTTCGTCGCGTAGGTTCGACGTTGGGGCTTGCTTGAGGATCTGACGGGTGTCGAATTTCGAGACATTGCTGGAGGGTCGTTTGGTGGATCTTAGCAATGCGGTCTGAAGAATCCTTACGTATGCAACGCTCAGACCTTGTATTATGTGACTGGCAAGCACACGGATACCCCCTGCGAGTCCTTTCCGCAAATGAAAGACTTTCGATAAGATTGATGCGAGCCGCTTGAAGGAACATATGTACAGATTTGTCCGTTGATTTCGACAGCCGAGTAGAAGAGCTGCGCAGGAACCTAGGCAAGCTAGATATAGAGCCACGTTGATGGTGATCATTCTTTGCGAAATGCATCTTAGATTGGGTAGCCCAAAGATTCAGGAGCAAAATCCGTTTTCATAGATCATTGTACAGATCGAATTAAATACAAGTTCACATACATTATGCTAACCACTTTGTGACGAGCCTAGCTTTGTCTTGTAAATCTTATTGGGGAAGATAAAGGAACATACATAGCGTAGTATTCATTCAGTGGGGAAGGTAAAGCTGCTTAAAGTAATTGACCCATCAATATGGGCATTGTTTGAGTGACAGTGATTATAGTTCGGACCGCATCTTGTTATATTGCATGTATTAATCATTTCAATCCATTTTGGAAGCGACAAGAGCATCCGTATTGGATCTTCAGGCGTGTGCATTCCTTCTGATGCACGAGCCTGGTGTCGCAGCTGTATGCGTGCTTAAGAAATGCGTACTAGGCCTGGTATTATGCCATCATTGCAACTGCTAGATCCGATTATGGGTGTCACGCAAGCTCTACGATTGGTCACGCAGGGCCCGTTCAGCTCCGGGGTAGGGTAGTGCAGGACGGGCCCTGCACTGGAATGCCGCAGCATGACCTGGGCCGGCCCGCGGGCCTATAATTGCAGGATCACGTTGCCAATTTTCTGTACGTATGGCTTGATTAAGTAGATATAACGATAGCTGTACAGAACGCTGAAGTTATAGGGAAACAGGGATCGTTTGATCTACATATGCATGTATATAAGGATTTAGTATGCGTGCAGAAATTGACACATCATATAGCTTTAGCTAGTGAGCCTGGGGCCGGCCCGCGCTTTCAAATTGTCGAAGGGATCAGATTTCATCAGACCTTGCCAGATGCATTCAACCGAGATTATTATGCACAGTGGGGAAGATTGAGGCCATCGAATTGTTGAATCTTAAGATGTGGAGCCTGCGCACCAGCTTTCCAACAGGTCTATGGGCTGCTATGCTCCTACAAACTGAACCAATCAAAAGAGAACATCATGCAGCAGCCCATATGTCGAGTTACTGACTCAATATGCGAACCTTATGTGAGCAACTGAACTTGCTATCTAAGTCACCAACCAAACTTTTTGTTTCACGCAGCTTCAGTCCAATTCAAGCTGCAGCTCTTGATATGCTTTACGAAGCCACCAAGAGATGCAGAATAGCCCTATTGATTGCCTACTTTAGCTACTTCTTGCCCTCCGGCCATACACTTATTTTCTCTTTTTGGAACTTGATCAACATTGCACTCAACCCCAGAATAAAATAGGCTTGAGTGCCAATAGTCCCACCTGCATACAGTACACCATGATTGGTGGGTACATTGTGTGCATCGAATGCACCGGTGTAGCCAGAAGAGCAAATATCAGATACAAGATGGCAACTTTTTGCTGAAAGATTGCCGTCCGAATCAAGCAATTCCAACAACCTACAAGAACGGTTGAAGTGTCTGATTGACAAAGAAGAACACGGGGTAATCTGGCAACTTCCAAAAACTTCAAAAAGAGCGGCGAGATGGCACCAATCTCTCACTTGCTGCAACCTCCAACTTAATGGATTGGTGCAATCAGCAGCCATGTGGTATAAATAAATTCCTTGCGCGAAGGTCCATTGACAAGAAGCTCTAGAAGTACCTTCATGGAAGTTGACCAATGCTCCCCCCGTGTACAGCTCTACACTCAGCAGGGCCCCAAGCCCCAGCAATGCCAGCTGCCCATTCAGAATCTCTGCATATGGTGCAAATCCTAGGCTCAAAGGAACACCATTGACTGCAGGCTCTTGCAGTGAGACAGGCTCAAGGTAAACCTCCTGCAGTGGGTTGGAGAGTGGAGTTGAGAAGTGACTACCCCGATATCTATCATGCAGGGAGCTGACAACAGCAGGAATTTAAAAGCTTCTATCTACCTGAAATGGTGGTGGTACCTATGCCCAAACACCACAATAGTGTGCTGCAAAACCCTCTCTCACAAGCCTGGGTTGCTGGCAAAGACCTCACATTGCAAGTCTAGCAGGCTTCACTAGACTTGCACCTCCCAACATCTAGCAGGGTGTTAAAAATCATGTCAGGGCAACAATGTGTACTCCTGATCCTTATCGGCAGCACTTTCTGGGCAGTACGATGTGCTCTTTGCCTTTATTTTGCTGCCTATACCTTCTTGTCGTCTCCTTTCCTTGGCTCCTCTGCCCCTGCCCCTTTCCGCTTTTGCGCCTTTGCACCCTCCCCTCGGGGCACCCTCCGCAAGCTCTCCAGCCTTTTTTCAAAGTCTTCCAGGTCAGGATCTGCTGCCCTCACGCTAGCATGCCGCTGAGGTGGAGCCACAGACGAAGGAGCCTGCGTCACAAGCTGGGAACAGGAGGCAAGGAAGGAGCACCCGCCACTTCGGAGATTACTTTGGCCGGCCGGACTTGCTGGGCTCGAAAATGTCAATGCCGCACACGCAGGAGCAGCAGCCGACCGCAACGCTAGAGCGGCCATGTTGATGAGCAGATCCTCTGCGCTAGCTACCTACTAATACCACTTCTCAACCTCCGACTCTGAGAATGTGGGTTTCTCGAGAAACAAGTGCTGCATTTCGCCAGCCCACATTGTCATCAGTTCGCCAGCCCGCATTTCGCCAGCGGGCCGCAGCTAGCTACTACTACTAGCTAGTCGGTATTTTCCAAAAAAAAAAAAAAAAAAAAAAAAAAAAAAAAAAGCCTAGGCAGCTAGTCCTTGTGACACTGCCACGTCGACAGACTCCTGACTCCACCGGATTGCGTTCCGTCAGTGTCAACAGCATTCCGGTGCCGTTCTTTTTGGCTAGGAGATACCCCTTTCTCACGTGCCAAGCTGCATCCTGAGGAAATTCCGGGAAACGTGCCGCAATTTGCAGATTGGATTTTCGCGCGAGTGCATTCTATAACCTAGATTTTTTGCTCGCGCAGCAAAACCAATTTCTTCGACTGTGCAGCATCTAAAATTCACCCAGAATTTGACCTGCTATGACATAGTAATTACCGTACGAGCCCCAGAACCGAATCTGGTCCAGAAGTGGATCGAGCTGATCCAGAAGTGGATCAACTTTTTTGTTATCTTGTCCCAGTCTACGCTGATCGCCGATACCTCTAGTCTTGTTGCATTTTATGACCAAAAACAAAGGTTTTCAGGGCTGCAAGGACCTCCTCTTGGCCAAAATTTAATCCGTTTGCAGCCCTAGATGAGGGTCTGAAAAAGAGGATATGCAGCGAAAACTGATCACAAATTGGTTCAGATTTGATCACAGCATTGCAGATAAGCGCTCAAATATTAAGGTGAGCCGGTAAAGGGTCCCGTACGGTAGGCCGGTTATATTTTGAAGCGCCCGGGGAGGAACACCGGGGTCATCGACCGAGCACAAAGACAAAGCCTTGTCAGCTTGGAAACCCGGCCGGCGGTTTGTCCTTGGCAGAGCCTCGAACCATTGAACCCGTACTAGGAGGATACCGCCCGAAGGGCGGTGTCCCTCCTAGCCCATTTTGATCCCTAATCTCCTAGCGTTATCCCAGAATCCACTCTTTCTCGGGGGGCTTGCATCCTGTGGCAACTGCTTTACGTATCAGCAGCTGGTGGTGGTGGCCACATATACGCGCAAAGCCCTGAGGCAGTGAGTGCTGGGCGTGCCGGCACGCCGCATGCATTACTAGCCTGATCCGGCATCATGGTTTTCACCCTGTTACAGCACCCTCCTGCTTGGAACTTACCTTCCATTGACGTGGCCTGCATAGAGGCGCAGGTATGCGTGACACATTCCCTCCTCTGGCCCCACCTGGCGGCAGCATTGCTGACAGTGCTAGTCACGCCCACTGGTGGTGGATGCCAAGCGCTGGCGAATGAGGAGCTGGATCGATGCTGTTTCTATGCTTTTGTGTTTGGGCCAGCACGAGAAGTTGTGAGGCATGGCAGCTCGCCCGCATTGATGCCTCAGTCTCTAAGTACAGCCGACTTGCAGACGACAAGTCGCTCCGTCGTTGTAGCAGTACTCGTATGAATGTCCGAAAGAAAGCTGTTAACGAATTAGGCAATGCAGATGGGTTTACAGAGTCGACTGGAACCGATGAAAGCAGGTCGAGGCGGAGTTGAGTCTTCCAATCAAGTTGTTTATATGCAAGACTACACAATGAGATTACTGTATCTTCTGGTTGTCCAGGTGTACCTCCGACTTGCTGGTGCTGCTTTCCAAGTGGAGGACGTGCCCACGCGAGTAGGAGCCGAGCAGATTCCTGCCCTGGAGGATGGCGACGAGGTGGTTATGGCGAGTGAGAGTGGGGGGATACCCGCCTACCTACGGGAGACCAAGGTATGCACATGACTTGACACATCGAGTATGATCATCGCTTGTCCTCGTGGGCTGGTGTTTTGTGCACAAGCACGCAAAGTTGTAGACTTTCACCCTCAGCATCGTACTCATGGAGGGCGTTAAGATTCTCTGGGAACCCATGTCTGTACCCTCCTCCGCGTACAGGGCATTGACCTGGACAGCGCCCTGACTGCTGCGGAGCGCGCGGACGCCGAGGCGCTGAGCGCGCTGGCCCACCTGCGGCTGCGCGCCGCGCTGCACTACTCCCTCTGGCTGGAGGAGGCCAACTACAAGCTGTGCCAGCACGCTTACGCGCCGGCCCTGCCCTTCCCGCTCAACCGCGTCCTGGCGTACCTCGCGCACAAGCAGGCCGACGCGCAGTTCCAGACGGGCGAGGTGGACGCGGCGCACGTGCGCGCGGAGGTGTACCGCCAGGCGGAGCGCGCCTACGCGGCGCTGGCCACCCGACTAGGGGAGCAGCGCTACTTCTTTGGGAATCGCCCCTCCAGAGTGGACGCCGCCGTGTTTGCGCACCTCCTCTTCCTGGAGAAAGCGCCGCTGGTGAGCCACCACGAACTGGGCGCCGCAGCGTCGCTGGGGTTACATCCTGGCCCAGCCTCCCTGGTGTCTCTCGCCCCTCTTGGCGCTTGGCCTCCTGAGGCCGAAATCGGTTGCTGCGCAGCCCTAAGGTCCGGAGAGGGTGTCCCCACTGCCATGTGTGCTGGCAGGCTGCCGGGCGGCAGGCTAGTGGACGGCCCTCAAGAGACGCTCAAGCAAAGAGCCACCTCTTCGCGTTTTCAGTGTTTGAAGCCTTCGAGTTCGGCTGGGCGACTGTGACTAACAAGGCCTGTCCCTGGTTGCAGGTCGAGACGTCCCTGAAGACCAGCGCCTTCTCTCATCCAAACCTGGTCAAGTACGTCAAGCGTCTAGAGCTCGAGGTCCTGTCCGCTCGTCCCGACATGCCTCGTGAGCCCCCACCATTCACCAGAACCCCCGGGCAGTCCTCCCGGCGAGGGTGGTGGGGGGGCAAGGTGAAGAAGGAAGACACGAGATCGGAGGAGGAGAAGCGGCTGACGAGGTGAGCCAGTTTACGTAGGAGGGGCCAGCGGGAGTTGGAAGGGCAGGCAGTGCTCTCAGTTGTTGGCCGGTGTCTGGATCTTGTTCTTGTCGAGATGTGTTGAGGATCGAAAGACGATACTCTTGAACGATTTGTTTGGGTGTACGGTTGGCTGCTTTCAAAAACATTCGCTCACAAGGGAGCGTAAAATATCTAACTGACTCCGTTCTCCGTTACTTTCAGCCGAGCTTGGTACTTCGTGGGGGCCCAGGTGGCAGCCGTCATTGCATACGTCGTCTTCTCGAGCTTGGAGGTGGTGAGCATCCTCCTGCACCGCACTGCCGCTCAAAGTTGGAATGGCCCCCTTGCCATCATGCCTGGCACGAAACGGCGGGCGTCAAAGTAAGCAGAGCCATGTGCCTCCAACAAGTCTGCTCACGTGATACGAATTCGAAATTGAACAAAGATGGAAGAGCACTTGTGTTTGAACCCTTGATTTAAAAATGGTGTTTGACTAAGAGAAGCCGTGCTGTGCAGGAAGAAGTGGAACTCGAAGAAGATTACGAAGAAGATTGATGCAACGAGGATTCTTATAGAGAAGCACCACGCTCGCCATGCTGGCATGCTGTCCTCAAGCTGGACTGCACGACCAACGTTGGCTGCGGACCCACCGTACTTTGGGCAAGTCACTTCACCCCGGCAGCGTGCTCATGCACGTCATCCGCTTGAAAGCAGCGGCAGGCCGCAGCGACTGAATTGCCATCACTCAAAGGTGTCGGCCTACGCATGCCCTCAACGAATTCACCAAATCGTTGTCCATTACTTTGAAAATGTTGAGAGTTGAACGCAAAGTCGAGCCGACTCCAGAGCCAGCATGATGAACGATGCACGAGTTGATGCGAGTTTGGTTTGAGGCATCCTTATGACGTTCAAGGCTTAGGTCATCGAGGTGTGCGACGTTGCACATCAACCTTGGATGTATCGTATACATCATCCTAATAAATATACATACGATTTTACGACTATAAATCGATCAACATGCATGCGTGTCGGAAGCATGTGCTACGTATGGATATGATCACATGTCATGTGAGTCGCGGCCAAACTTACGGCCGAATGATACGAACTAGATCTGGATCGATGATGCAATTTCATGAGAGCCATGCTGCAAGTTATACCGCCGCTTAAGGCAGTGTACTGAAGCTTATAGCGCCACTGCATTCACGATCGCGTTCGTGCTATTCCGACACAATCAACATATCATGCCACTTACGTGCGTAAGTCTCAGTTCGCTGCGCGCAGACTTCTTGATTACACATACGTCTTGTTGATCGGTCAGATTAATCGATCTTATGTGTCGATCAGCGGCATGACATTAATGTTGCACACGGTCTGTCGAACATGCTCATTTAGCAATTAGGGCAGCTACTCGCGAAATATCTAAAGCGTGATCTCTCTGTGACCGGACTAAACCCGTTAAATGACACGTGCTGCTTTTCTAATACGACCCCTCGAAGTACTGTTTCCTAGGTGCTCTCATGCGGAGGATTTGGTCACTTCGGAGGAGACCTCCCACTTTCTTCTGCTGGCTAGCTTTCTAGCAAGTTCGGTGGAAAGCGAATCTGGGGTGTGGGGCTGTGTAGCTGACGTGACAATCTCAGGTCTTTGCATCGAGGTAGCCGTAAGCGTGTCGCCTGGGCTACAGTGCTCATTCTGCTCTGCAGAATCATACCGATCTCGGATGCTCCCAGCTTTTCCAGTGGTGTTGTCTTGACTACCTTCTCCAAACAAGGATCGCCGTACGCCCCCCCGCACCGGTCTTTCTTTGATGGCCACGGATGGGCTGCTCCAGAGATGCCGCCCCTTTTCCTCCCACATCTGCTCCCACTTGCGCCGCGACGCCAGCTTCCCCGCCAGCTCGCCCGACACCGCACCTCCCGCTGCCACCACCGAGCAACCCGGATCTGCGAGCTCTACTGCCTGCTGTTTGCGGTGCGCGGAGTCTGCGGCTTTTGACTCACTTGTGGCTGGGCTGGGCACCCCGCCCCCGTTCTCCTGCTGCTCCTGGAGCACGCTTGCTTCCCGTTTCCGGACCAATGCATGGTCCGTTTCTCGGATTCTTCCATTGCAGGCGCCTTCGTTGGACCTATCAGCGTGGTCTCCGTTTTCTTGCCTTGACTGTCGTGCTTCTTGTCCTCCGATGGACAAAAGCCAGTCACTCATGGGCTCACTGACGCCTTCCTCTGGAAGCTTGAGAGGACTGCCGCCTCGACGGCTCGACCCACAATCTGCTTTACTAATCCCCCCCGGCTTGCCACAGCGCTCCGTACTTGTGCAATCAGAGCTGTTTTCCTGGCACCCCACCTCGCACCTGGAAGCTCGTGCGACCTCTCGCCCAGGCTGTTGCTGCAGAACAATTTCGGCCTGGTCTCCTTCGGAACAGCTTCCAGGTTGGGGCTGAGCTCTGTCGGGGCTGTAGTCCTGCTGGCTAGCACCCACAACTGCAGCCAAGCCCACTCCCGTTGCCCCTGGCTGCAGTGGACTCTGTTCCTTGCCGCCGGCTTCCCCCGCTTCCTGCTCCAGCGCTGCGGTACCCCCGCACTCTCTGTCTGGCCACTCATCCTCAACAGGGTGCGAGACCAGCGACACGTGCCTTTGCAAGACTCCTGCGCCGCTGCCGCCCTTGTTTCCCACAAGTCCTTCGTCAGCATTGGTCCTTTGACTCCCTAACTCTGGCGACGCATCGCTCAGTTTCCCGCCACTCTGCAATGCTTCCCCCCCACTCTCTGCCCCGTCATGGGCAGTCTGCTGAGCTGGCGCCTCTCTACCACCCTCCTCTTCGACCACTCCGCTTGCTATCGCCTTATGGCCCCCAGAGTGCAGCCTGCCCCCCATTTCGTTCACCTCCGTCAGTTGCGCCCCTTCCTTGGGTTCGCACCGTGGCCACTGCGCGTCCTCCGCTGCAGTGGCCAGCAGCAGGCCTGGAGCCCCTCTTTCCACCCCCCCGTGCGGCCCTCCTAGTAGCACGGGCTGCACTTGCACGGGGACTGCCCCTCCCTCGTGCCATGCGTCCAGCAAAGCCAAGCGTGCGCAGCCGGGCTGCCAGCGTGCCCCGTGTGCTTCGAAGCGCGCGCGGTGGTGCCTCTTCTCCCGGTGCCGCGCGGCGCGCTCCTGCTCCAGCTGTGCAATGGCCCCCTCCAGTGCGTCCACCAGCGCGCCGTGCTGCAGCGCCGCCTCCTGCTCACGCTGCGCCGCCTGCCGCAGCTGGGCCGCCAGGGCAGCCTTCTCACTCTGCAGCAGCGGCGGCAGCGCGGGTCAGCCACAGAGCAATGCCAGAGCTTGTGGATCACCTCTGACAAGCCACACAGCGAGCAGCAAGATGCTCAACCGAATGGACAAGTGAAAGTGACATGAGCGCTCGTATTTGGTTCCAAAAATATATGAGGCACTTCTGTCGAAGCTTGGACAGTCTGATGGTTTCAAGGGTACATCTCGCCGGATATTATCAAATTGTTATTTTCCGGGTGCGCTATTACCCATGCAAGTGAGAGTACGAGTCCATGTGCCTCACCTGCAAGCGCGTGATCATTCGTAGAGCTTCTGCGGCGGCCTCCTCTGCGGCGCTCCGCTCCTCGTCCAGCTCCTGTTGCAACTCTTCCACCGATGGCCACTGCCCAGAAGCACCGACAGCGCCACTGCAGGAGCCAGGGGCCACATGGCCTGCTAAAGTGTCGGCGTGCGTGCATTGATTGGACGGGCAGGCACCCCTTCCTATGTCAACAGCAAGGCTGAGCTGGAGAGACATCCCAGCAGGGGTGCTTTTTGTCTGCATGCTTGAGAGTACGACAGCTGGAGATGTGGGGCCACCCTCATGGGCCCCGCATGTGCCCCTCATTAGGCAGTCCTGGCCACTAGGAGAGTCTCCACGAGCTGGCACTGCCGTCGAGCGGCACTCTCTGCGGACGGCGCAGGCTAGCCCGCGCAGGGCATCCCTTCGCTCCAAGCAGTCCACCTTCTGGTCAAAGAGGGAGTGGTCCTGGGACCATGCCTGACATCTTGGCACTTTGGCACTGTCTGAGACCCCATTGGTCTCCTTTCCGCAAGAGTCTGCTCGAGAGGAAGAATAGCTTGTGGCATGCATTGCACCTCTCGGGTGCTCCCCCTCGCAATCAGCGGTAGCTGTGGCCCGCACCCCCCTTCCCGAGCTCCCCTGCTCTGCCCCCTGGCTCTGGGAGTGCAGCTGCTGCCCACAGCACAGGCAGACGGCTGTGCATGCTGGAGGGTAGGCCAGGACACGCGCAGCCAGGGCAATCCCTACAACCACAACAACCCGCAGCAACGTAATGGCTGCCAGCACCAGCTCCAGCACACCCAGGACAATGGCAGAAAGCCTCCTCAGCACTGCAGCCATTCTGGGGACCATTTGAGCATTTGACGGGCGTTCCGCTAGCTCCTGTGATGCAGGCAGGCATTCCGCCTTCTTGTAGGACAGCTTCATGCATCTGGGTCCCGAGGCCTGTCGCACTGCAGCAGCCTGGAGCATGCCCGCGCCATCGGCTGTCCCTGGTCGTCAATTGTCCCCAGCTTCCTTCCCAGGCTTCCCTGCCGTTCTGCCCGTCCCAGCCTGCACTGCTTTTGGCAGTGCCACTGCTATGCCTTCGCTATGGCCAGAGCCAGAGCCTGAGGCTGAGGATGGCCAGGTGACACCAGGTGCATGGCGAGGTGCCTGACGAGGAACGGCACAGGGATGGCTAGGGATCCGCGGGATCCCCCCGGCAAGTTTCACCGGCTGTTTCTCGGGGGTAAGATTTCAATATCTCCTCGCTTGCCGGCATTGCTTAACCGGCCGGTTTGCTTTGTCAAGCGCCCGGGGTAGGGTAGCCTCCGTAAAGTTCTTAAGGGGCCCGGAAGCTTAGGGAAGGAGGAGGGTCGTTGGCGCTGCTGCCGGCCATGGTCACCACCTTGACCCGCCTGCCAGTGGAGGCGGAGAGGACGCTGATCGCGAGCAGCGCTTGCAAGTGAGCTGTGGTCTGCGGTACCTTGCTGCCTCGCTGCTGTTGCCTGCTGTGGATGGAATGCGTGAAGCCCGAGATGCTCTGATGCACGCACTGCATTTGTTGCCTGCCTCTGTTTCTGCGTGTGTCCTCGACAATGGCTGCGCGCGGCACATTCGGACGGTCCGCCACTTGGACGGGCAGTCACTTCGTGGATCCCGATGACAGCGACCTGGAGGAGCGCAGCTCGCCCGGGGGGGACGAGGCAGACGAGGATGACACGCTGCGCAGGTGGCGCCACGAGGCCCTGCACCGCCCCAGGAACGGAAGGTACGCCCGTGCGCGTGGTGACGCATTGATGGCAGCTGCTAAACAAAGGTTCTGTGCTGTCGCGCTTCTCGGTCAACGCTAACACCGTCAGACACTGGCAGTCAACAAAGATTTAGGGCCAAGGACATGGGTTCACAGGCCACTCCAAGTGACTGACTGCATGGCCTCTGGATTGTCAGCAGGGCAGGAATGTTCTGGGCCTTCAAGTCCCCCTGCCATCGTCAAGTCTCCTCTTTGCATAGAACGACCACCCTGCCTGGAAGGCGCAATGCGGCGTCGCTTGCGGCATCGCCTGCCCCAGTCTTACCCTGCCCTTTTCTCTTCAGGCCCAGCACGTCAGGAATGCAGTGGGTGCAAGCGCTGAAGGGGTACCTGGGGGCCGAGGAGGCGGCGTACTCAGAGGAGGCAGCGGAGCGCGAGGTGCAGCACCACCTGCGGCACCTGCTGGAGCAGCGCAGCCAGCCCCAGGAGAGCACCAGTGCGCCACCAGGTGTGCCCACCCACATGCTGGCCGGAAAGGCGCCTGCACAAGCTTGGCAGGCAAATTGGCGCACCCACCCTATTTGGAGCCGCACGGGGGGCTCAACCTTATCGCAATAACAAAAGCTGTTGTTGAAAAATTCCATGTTAAAAGGCTCTTGGATTGTGCCAACACTGCTCCTGATCTCAGAAACCGTTGGTATAGTATGCCCCCGGCTCTTGCAGATGGCATTCCCCCCTTCTTCCGAGCGCGGCCGGAGGAGGCGTCGCTGGCGGGGCAGGTGGCGCGGCTGGCGCGCACTCGATTCCTGCGCAAGCAGCATGACGCGCTGCTGGACCCCGAGGAGCTGAGCATCGTGTGGGGCTGCCTCAAGGAGAGCATCTCCGGGCCGGACGACGACCCCGCCAAAGACAGGATCAACTACGACGATTTCTGCCAAGTCGGGGAGAGGTGCGCGGCCGCCTGCCCATGCACTTGTTGCACCGCTGTTTCAAGGTTAAAACTAGATCTGGACAGCAGTTCCAGGCACTTGGCCAACTTAGAGTGCTCCGCTGGTCCAGGGTGGCCTCAACAGAGCAAGGCAGCCATGCGGAGAGATGGACCCGCTGTCTGCCCTCTCTCGTGCAGGAGCGTCGAGCAGATTGGCCCCAAAGTGAGGCCATTCTTTGCCCCGTCGGTATTCCTGACCTTCGAGGCGGACCAGTACGGGCGCATTGGCATCTACCCCTTCTACCTGTACATGATGCGCATGACCTCCCTCACCCAGGTGCGCCGCGCTCCCCCCGCCGCACCCGTGCGGCCGACCTCTCGAGACTCACAGCATTTCACCTCCTGAAGCTGGACCAGTCTTACTTGCCTCCCAAGCAGCCAGCTGATACCGTATACCCTCTCTTGTTCTACGAGCTCTGTGCGCCCTTGCTTTGGTGGCTGAGTCTCTGTGCTGACGTCACTCCGTGCTGCCAGGCGCGGATTGACATGTGTGTGTTTGATGAGGACGGCGACGGCTACCTGAAGCACACGGAGCTGGAGGCCTACATTGGGCAACTCATCCCCAGGTGGGTGCAAGCACACCTAAGCACGCAGGGCGTCCCCTGGCCAGGCACCTTTGCTGTGACTTTCTGCCAAGCTTTTCAGAGTTTGCTGCCGACCATTGTCTTGAGGCTCCTTGTCTCAACAGCCAAGTACTGTAGTCTTTGCGATGCCGCTCAACTCTTTTCGGCTGCGATCTTTCCTGTACGGTACGGGTCGCAGGCACGTCTGTTGCCCGGTCCCTGCGCTGACGCGTGTGCGGCATGGCGTGGGTGCAGCCTGCCGCAGCTGGGCAGCTCGGACCTGGCCCCGGGGGGCTCGTTTGTGAACATGTACAAGAAGATCGCGGCGCGCAAGTTCTTCTTCTTCATCGACGGCGCGCGGCGCAGCAAGCTGCTGATCCGCGACGTGCTGCTGCACCCAGTGCTGTCGGAGCTGATGGAGCTGCGCCAGGACGAGCCCGACGAGGTGGCACCCGCCAACTGGTTCCTGCCCGACAACGCGCGCCGCGTGTACACGCTCTTCATGAAGCTCGACCGCGACCGCAACGGCACCCTCTCCAAGGCCGAGCTGGCGGCCTGGAATGACGGGGGCCTCACGCCCATCTTCGTGGACAGAGGTACGGGCCCGCCCTGGAGCAAGCTGTTTCGCGTGCACTGCGCTTCGAAGGAGGGCGGGGCGGCACTGCTTGATGCGTCAGGGCAGGGATGCGGAGAGAAAGTGAGTTGCTGTAGCAGCGCAGCCCTCGAGTACCGTCCGTCCACTGCTCGTCTTGATGGCCTCCGATGCAGACGCCGCTGTGCTTGACCGCCTGCTGCTGCTGCGTCTTGCTGGCGCAGTGTTTGACGAGGCCGTGCGGCGGTCGCGGCTGGGGCGGGGCCACCCGCGCGAGATGGACGTGGCGAGCTTCGTGGACTTCGTGCTGGCCATGGACTACAAGAACACGCCCGAGGCGCTCGCGTACCTCTTCCGCTGCCTCGACCTGCGCGGCGAGGGCGCGCTCACCGCCGCCGACGTCTACACCCTTTTCAAGTGAGTGGGCCAGCCCGGGCGGACCTCCCCCAGGGCACGGGGAGCAGACCGACCTGGCATCATCTGTCACATACCGCGGGCAGTGTCGGTCGAAAGTTTACGAGTTGGAGATGGTGTCCCCGTCCTGAGCGAGTGGGATCTGTGAATCTTTCCTACGCCAACCGCTAGGGGCGTTGAATTTGAACCGCTTGGAGATCTGCACATAACGGGCTCAGGCGCTTGCGCTCGGTTTCATCTTTGAACGATCATGCTAGAGCGGCAGTGCAGGCGGGCGCTGATGGGCTCGGGGTGTGCTGGTTGCAGGGCGGTGCACGAGAAGTGGATGGCGGCGGACAACTACGAGCTGGTGATCCAGGACGTGGTGGACGAGGTGTGGGACATGGTCAAGCCTTCGCACCCCGCGCGCATCACGCTGCGCGACCTCGTCGCGTGCAAGCAGGGCGACACCGTCGTGTCCATGCTCACCGACGTGCGCGGCTTCTGGCAGCACGACAACCGGGAGACGCTCGCGCAGCAGCAGGACGACGACGATGCAGGCCAGTTCTGACGCAGCCCCAGTGTTGGGGAGCGCGGGGCTGAAAGGCGGCACGGCCGGGGGGCCGAGCCGCTCCACGCGTTGATCAACTGCGGGGCGAGCGTCTCGTCAGATTGGGCATGGGGAGACAGTGCAGGACACTGCGGAGGAAGCTTGTACTTTAGGTAGGCCTATTTATCAAATCGAGAGTTGTCATACTGATCACCACTGGTACAGGTACATGTACTAATACCGTCGCTTATGTTTGACGGAGGGAGGCAGAGCCGATGAATCTAGCGTTACGGTATGTGTGTCTTGTGTGTTCAAGTTGCCGTTTTCGTTGGTGCTTACATTCAGTACGATCAAGAGCCTTCTCCTAGTAAAGTCCTACTAGGTTGGTGTTGTAACTCTAGAGGCTAACAGCACTTTCAATTGATCCTTCTATAACGATTCACGATATCCAGTCAATGATCGTTTCGTGAGACGTTTGTGCAGCCACTTGCTTTGGGATCTGTTCAGATCGGATGCCCTTGAGGTTCTCGTGCAAGCACGGAAGATTGCCCTGCAACAATCTATCAAAGGGGCGGCCCCCTCACAGTACTGCAACTATGCGGCATGGTTGTGCAGCGCACACTGGCATCCAATCAGCATGCTTTGATAGCTGGCCGGTGAACTTCGAACAACAGCATGATCATCGTGCCATGTAAAGGGCTTGCTTGCGGCCTAGGCATGTATATGGCCGATGCAATATGTTCACATGCCGGCCATGCTGTTGTGCATTTAATGCACCTTTCATGATGGATGCAAATGCATTACCGTGTCACATGCGACAGAGAATGACCCGTGTGGCACCGTTCAATATGTATGGAAGGCGCAACGAACATGTACGGAGAACGAAATCATTACTCTTCTATATTAGTGGACGTACCGGGCCAAAAATGATTGCAGGTTCATAGTGGCCCGGGCCAAACATAGTCGCACGAACGTGCCACAATGACGATCAGTACTCATTCTTGGTGGAAAGTTTTGAGGTGCCCCAAGCTCTTAGAGGTTCTCTCGATCTATGACCAATTAATGCAATAAACCAATGCTGCTGGTAAACTACCAGTCAGATCCAATTCTCAGCATGTGGGTTTTGGTGACGGTTTCTGGAAGTTTGTCTTGACTTAATGTCAATCTGATCTCTGTCTGCGTCCAAATGCACGTGTCCTCTTTACAATTACACTCTAAAGATCCTCCAGCAATGGACTTTCTCAACCCTGGCAACCGTGACAGCCCACCCGGGTGGGCCGCTAGTTGCGGCCTAGGAGTGCGACTCGCAGTAGGATGGCCACCGTGGTGCCGACGCTGATGTTGAGCACGTTCACCAGGTCGTTGGACAGCTGCACCCGACACACGCCACGCCCAGCCTCAACAGCGCTCCAGCAGCAGAGCGGGGTGTCACGCAGAGGAGCGCGCCTATGACGCGGTCGACAAGCCCCATGCTCAAGACGTCTCAATCGCTTGTCGACTCGTTTGCAAAGACATCCAGACATCACGCTAGAAGGGCCTGCCAACAACATGATCCTTGAATTGAATACATGGGGCTGAGCCTGTATCTGTGTTGCAGGAACGCCGTACCAGCAGCAGCCCTGCAAGTGGCCCTGCCCACCGTTGGCCCACTCGCGGCCCACTTGGAGAAGAGAAACGGAACCCAGTGAACCAGCTCGTGGAGAGCAAGTAGTCATCGGGTAAAAGCACAGACAAACATGCACGCCTGTTGTCCTATTGTGGAGTGTCTCTCACTGAGAGGGCACTGGTGCGGAATGCAAGCAGGGTGCGACGTACCCATTCCCGCCCCGCCTTGCCCTGGCTGGTGGCGCCCAGCCAGCTCTCGAACACGTTGGCCACCTGCGATGCAACGACCGCTACCACTGCCCCCGTGCCGTCCACCTGCACACAACACGGGGGAGAGGGAGCGGCTCAGGAAGAGGGCACCTCACCAAGCAAGCAGGCCACTCGCAGATAGAGAACGTTAAGTCAAAGCTTCCATTTTCAGGCCCACCAAATTCTCCGAGCGACACAGGGTGAACTTGCCGCTCTAAGCATGGGCGAATGCAAAAGCCCGAGCTTGACGTTGGACAAGTCCTTTATGGGACCCCGTGGTTGAGATGCGTCCTCGCAAGCCAGGTTCATGACAGGCGCTCCGCTGGTGCTGTACTGGCGCTGTTCGAAGGACTGCTCTAGATGCGTCTGGGGCACAGGCGGAATGACCGAAGTGGGGCCTGGCACAGTTCGTCACATTAAGGCCGGCACGAATCTGCACTGAAAGTGCCAAGCAAACCACGGCTTCTGAGCAGACGGCACTCCAACTATGGTAGACACTCGAGCCATGTCGACTGTGGCACACTTGACAAAGCAACACTCTCCTTGGACAATTGACCGCCTGGTTCAGACTGTAAGCCATCCCTCCTTGCACTCTCTATCGAATACTTCTGGAGGATCTCGGAACTTCGTCCCGTGCTGGCTGTGCGGCTCACCATCCCCGCTAGCACGGCCACCCCCGCCAGCGCCACTGCTGCCGCCAGGCCGGCCAGCGTGCCCTCCGCACTGACCGCCCCCTCCGTGCCCCGCGGCACCAGAGCCAGGCTGGTGATCAGGTACCTGCACGCCAGCGCGCAACTTTCATGCGGCGCAACTAGGGCGGAGAAAGGCTGGGGCCTACGGGAGCCCGGGCAACTACCAAGCTCCGAGTCTGGCAGGCCCACAAAGGCCAGAACACAGTGCTTCGCACGGCTATTCCAGGCCAGGGGCCACATGGAGGCGCGGCTCCACCTCGAGGTGTGGCTGCTCACGTGGTTTTGCCGTAGGCCTTGCCGACCTCGCTGGCGGTCGTGTCGCTCAGCTTGGTGCAGAAGCTGGCCACGTAGCCCAGCTGCCACAGCGGCACCGCCGCAGCGCCCCCCACCCCGAGCGTGGCCCCCGCAGCGCACGCCACCGCCGCCGCCGCGGACCCCACCACGCTGCCTGGGCCCCGCCGCCCGCTGCGCTGCTCCGCAATGCCCTCCGCTTGCTTCTGCTGCAGCCGCAACTTGGTCACGGCAGTGCCCTGCACACAGGCGAGCGGTGCTCAGGGCGGGAGGCAAGACAGGGGCGTGAAAGACAGGAATGGGCAACTGGAAGGAGGCCATCTCAGACACAGTAGCGCAGCGATGGCGCCATGGACTTCAAACGGCCATCTCAGAGGGGGGCTGCGGAGAAAGGGGCACTTTGATTTTGACACTGCCATGCACCGCAGCTCAATCCTGGTGAGAACAGTGATTGCTTGGTGGCGGGTGGCTGCCTGGCAGCGCACACCGGCCCGCACCTGGCGCATCACGGGGGGGCCAGGCGGGGTGCGTCCGCTGCGCTGTGGGGCTCACCAGCAGGAAGTAGAGGCACACCAGGGTGTACCCGGGGGGCCCAAAGCCCTTCCAGGCGGCCACCCCCAGCAGGAAGGAGCTGGCCATGCCGCTGGCGGAGAGGCCGGAGCGCAGCACAGGATAGCCCAGCGAGAAGACGGCCGCGTTCACGCCCAGGGTGGCAGCCCAGCTGGGGGGCTGCGCCCACAGGGCAGCGCTCACCTCCGTCGCAACAGCGGACAAGTTGGCTGCCAAAGTAGCCCGGCACTTCTTTGGGCGTTTGGCAGTGGGTGAGTTTTGGGGAGCATGGGCTGGCGCGGTCAGGGTCAGGAAGGATAAGCTGGACAGGTGCGAACCAGCGCGCCCTGGCATGGCAGCCTGCAAGCAGCGCAAGGTGGCGGGCCGTGCAGTAAAGCCCAGGGAGGACACACAGGGGGGAAAAGGGCCGCTCCCCAATCTGCTTTTTAGTACCTCCGGTGGGCGGGAGAGGCCGTGCTGTTGTGTGCTGGCAGCAGCCCCGAAACCAAGCACAGGCTGTGATGCCCCGCTCACAAGGCCCGTGCTGTGCCCTGCGGCATGGCAAAGCAAGGGAGAGGCTGGACGCCGCCCTGTGCTGGTCTTATTGGAGGGGGCCAAACACAAGCTTGCAGACACCCCCTCAATAGAAGTAGCGGCCGTCATGGCTTGTTGCAAGACAATAATGGAGGACAGCTACAGGCGCCTGCTGATGTAGATGTTCATTGAAGAATCCCCAATTGATGCAAGTCGTGCTTGCCTTGGAATTTGGCCCACCGCCCCGACAGCTTGGTGGTGGAGCTTTTGAGAAAGATCACGCCTACTCCTAGCTCCAGCACGCTGCACTGGTCAGAGTTGCAATGCGCATGGATGATGTTGAGTGCATGGGGTCCGGCCCCGCGGGCGCGGGGGACCCCCCGCCAAAACAGCATCGCCACCGTTCGATGATGAGCACTGCTATCAAATCGACGATCGCGATAAAACTAAGAGTCTGGTCAGCCAGCGCAGCATATGAAATCAGCAAGGCCTCAGTGCCTAATAAACACAGTAACTACCTATCCTACGTCTACAGGTATGGCGAGACTGAATGCACGTCTCAACGTCTGGCAAAGTTTTATTGCACATGTTTCACAACGTTTACGGTTCAGCATGTTTGATTGATGATGTTGACAATCAATCGTTGTAAAAGACAAGATCGTGATGGATTTACCTACATCCGTTCGTGCACATTGAAGCTGGCCGGTGCCAGGCGCTGTATCCATCTTCTGAGACATGCGGCATGTTGTCATCTTAGCGAGACACTGAAGAGGTCTGACTCACAGATCAAGCACGGGATACGGTCGACCGATCAACGTCAAAGTGGGACGATCTAGGAATGAAAATTTGCAATTCATATGTATGTCATCACTAGAAACCAATTGGCACGGAAGCTGATGGCCCACATGGCTACCGTCGTCGTTTGGAGAGAGAACGTCATGCATGCATCTGGAGACGCACTCCAAGTTTAGGGTGTGCCTCGAGTTTGTCACGTACATGTATCCTACATGCATGTGAAGCAGTAGTATTAGAAGGAAGGAGCCTTTTGACAATTACAGATTGAAGCAAGCATTTAGCATAGGCTACATGATGCTTCGAATCTCACTTGCAAGACTTACGTAGCCGAACCTCATTGAGTTCAAGCAATGAAACAGTGCCATCGAACATTTAACGGATCGTTGCTTCGAAAAGTAACAATTTTCAAAACGTAGTCGATTTGAAGATGACAGCCGACAACCTACAGGATTCGACTCCAAAAGCCACATTTACGAATGCTACTGAGTGACGGCCTCAGAATTCTCACTATAAACACTCGAAAGAATCAGATAGTAGATCAACGACAGTGATTCTTGCTGCTGGGAAGATACTCTTTTGATTCGAATGAGACCTAGATACATCTACCATATGCCGGCTTGTTGACGCTTTACATTTTTGTCCTTGCTGGACACCTATCCTTCAATTGCCCGGTTGTTTGCACACGGGGCAATACCTTTTCCCACAGAGCTCGCTTACTAGACTGTACAAGCAGCAACTTCATTTACACAGGATCAACCGAATCGAGCTACGATTCTGAATCGGAGGCAAAGCCGAGGTCCTCCTCAGCCGCGTACGTTGGCAGCTCGTCTAGTCCGCCGTTTGAGTCCATTGGAGCAACAAACGCTGAGGACGCCCCCCTCCCGTTTTGAGAGCTCGCAGAATCCTGCGCAATCCTGGCCCGAATGTCCTGTCGAGACAGACAGCGCAGGGTTTGCTTCTGCCACATGCACTGCGCGGTTGAAGCGTACCCGTGCTTGCTGGTCAAGGCCAGCGCCCGAGCAACCCCTGCCTTCGAAAGCTGCGCTCTGATCCTTCGATCTCGGAGACTCTGCTTCGCAGCAGACAGCACTGACCGGCCGGCTCCTCAGCAGCTTACGACGAGCAGGCGCGGGCGGCACACATCAGGCGTGTTGCGACGACGTAGGCAGGATGCTCATGGGTTCCACGGCCTCACCTTTTCAATGGTCTGCCGGATGTCGTCATTCTCCCTGAGGAACGCCACCACCTTTTCCCGCCCTTGCCCGATCCTGCGCACGCAAGCAGCAAGTGAGCAGGCGCGCCATCACTGGGGCGGCTGCAAGGCGACAGAGGGGGCAGGCGGTGCGGGGCAGCTTCGGGCAGGGGAGGCCCCGCAGGGGCAGGTCACAGGGGGCCGGGGCTCACTTGGTGTCGCCGTACGAGTACCACGCGCCTTTCTTCATAATGAGGCCCAGCAGCTCGCCCACGTCCACGATGCATCCCTGCACATTCAGCCAAGCGGTCAACAGCAGCACATGCCGCTCTGCCGCCGAAACACCAGGCCAGCGACAAAAACGAGCAACGGAAAGGGGCGTGGTCGCTGGCGCACCAGCGGAGGGGCAGGGGCGCATACCAGGTGCGAGATGCCCTCCTTGAAGATGATGTCCTGCTCCGCGGTGCGGTACGGCAGTGACACCTGCCACCCACAACGACACACAGCAGGCCGTCAGGACAGGGCTGCCAGGAGGGGGCGCAACCAGACAGAGCCACAGCGCCAGCTGGTAAACAGGATCCACTTGGAACAGCTGATTGATCCCGCCTAGTGCACCAGGGGACTGCGCAGCAGGCAGGCCCATAGAAGCCTCAGCACTCTGGCCACAGCCGGCTTGTCCATTGCCGCCTCCACACTGTGCCGAGACGGGGCTGAGACCAGGCACAGCTCGAGTGTGCCGCACTGCTGAGGGGCCGCCGGCACGGACCTTGCTCTTGGTGACCCGTATCCTGGTGCGGATGCCCACATCCACCTCGCCGCGGCCGGCCTCGGGCACGCCCTTGATGCGGCCCGTGTTGCGGATCTCCAGGCGCAGCGACGCAAAGAACTTGAGGGCCTGGCCGCCGCTGGTCACCTCGGGGCTGCCGTAGATGACGCCGATCTTGAACCGGATCTGGTTGATGAAGATGATGGTGCACCGCGCCTTGGACGCGCTGCTGGCCAGCTTGCGCAGCGCCTGGCTCATCAGCCGCGCCTGCGACCCCACCAGCTGGTTCCCAATGTCGCCCTGCCACGCAGCACGCACCGCCGTCAGCAGCAGGCAGGCACCCAGGCACACAAACATGCGCAGCTGACAGAGAGTCAGCCAGCAGCAGGACTGCCAAACAAGGACATGGCAGGGGGGCAGGGGGGCGGCGCCGCACCTCGAGCTCGGCCTTGGGCACAAGCGCAGAGACGGAGTCTACGACGATGAGGTCAACGGCGGAGGAGCGGATCATGTGGTCCGCGGTGTTGAGCGCCATGTCGCCGTTGTCGGGCTGGCACACGACCAGCTCGTCCATGTTCACGCCCAGCGCGCCGCTGTAGTCGGGGTCAAACGCATGCTCCGCATCGATCAGCAGGCAGTTGCCGCCCGCCTTCTGGACCTCCGCTATGGCGTGCAGCGCCAGCGTTGTCTTGCCGCTGCTCTCCGGCCCGTACACCTGCGCGCACGACGGCACCGCTCAAGAATGGGGGCAGCCAGCAGGGGGGGCGCCAGGCGTGGTGAAAGAATGCCAAGCATTGCAGTTAGTAGAAATACCTGGGAGAGCAGGCAACTGCAAATGGTGGTCCAAAGGCAGCAGACGCGAAACGGGCCTGAGCAAGCTGTACGCATGGCGTGGCTCATCTGAAGAGGTGTGCTGAACACAAAGATCATTTTTACAGACCTCCACAATCCTGCCCCGCGGCAGCCCACCCCCCAGGATGTAGTCCAGCGCCAGCGAGCCGCTGGGGAAGGTCTCCACCCCAGAGGACACGCCCGTGGCGCCTAGACGCGTAACGGTACCCTTGCCGTACTGCGCGTTGATCTCCGCCATGGCGTCCTCCAGCGCACGCCGGCGCGATGCCGCCAGCGATTCGTCCTGCCCCGCATCCTTGTCCAGGGTGGCAGCACTACTCGCAGCGCTCCGCCGAGGGGCGCGCGCTGCCACCGCCGCACCGCGCCGCCTGGGGGGACACAACAGCCACCAGCATCTCAGATACGGCCGAGAGAAGACGGCCCAAGCCCTTGCGAGGACCAGAGAGGGCGGGCGGTTGCAGCACCATGGACGCCACCTCGGGGCTGGCTCCGCAAAATCACACCGTGCTGACAGCTCAAGGACACAAGGCAAAGCACCGACCAAGCCCCCTGGGCAGCAACAAGGAATCTGGAAGAGAACCCATGTTGGAAAACACCAGCTCCACGACTTCAGCAAGGGTTGCAAAGGCTGCGCCACATGCCCTGACCTGTCCAAAGTCACAGGCGTTATCCGCTTGGTGGCGAGCCTTGTAAGGCCAGTTCTCTCCCCCGTGAAGCTGCTCCCGGCCCCACTCAGAGCGCGCTCGCGCCGCTCCGCTAGCAGGTCGGCATCGGGGACACAAAAGCTGGCGCCCCGGGGATTGCGGCGCAGCAGCGCCCCTGCGCCACTCCGCGAGTGGAAGCCCGCCGCGGGGCAGGTGGAGCAGCCGCCCGGCGGCTCCACGTGCGCAGCGCCAGGGATAGCAATGGCGCGACTGTACACAGAGAGGAACAATGAGGCAACGGGAGTGTTTCTGCAGCAATCAGCCACCAATTGGCGACCAAATTGCGTGTCATCAGAGAGAGCCTGTGTTTCATCACAACCTGCATAAGAGAAGGACAATGCCAGGTAGCAACCGCTGCAAATGAATTTGATTCTCCTCCCAATCAGCAATCACTGATGAGCAGAAGTGCTGCTTACAACAGGTCGCTGTGGGACAATATCTTCCAAAGAAACTTCGAGGGGCTTCACCCATTTGAAAGAATCAAATGAACTTCTTCGGAGACATTGGGCATTAGAGCACCAATCCCTCTGGGCAGCCAATCAACTACCACAATCACCTTGCTGTCCTGCAAGCGACTTGAAGCGCCCCAGACGCCATCATGGAAACCTCCTGAGCTGGGTTGATCAGGTTCGAAGGTCACTGTCTCTGGACTGAAGATAGTGGACAACTTTTTGATTGGTCCGATTACGATACCTCGAATCGGACGGTTGCGAACTACCGAACTTTCGGCACAAAAATGCATGAGACCCCGCACTGGTCCTGTGCATTTTCGGAAGAGCTTTCGAAGGGCGCCATGGCGCCCGCTTAGGAAGAATTTTGCGCTTCCCACCCTGGCCCACCCTTGTATACTTCAAAATTCTTTCAACTTACCTGCTCGCCTCAGCCCAGTCGCCTTCGGCTTCCCATGCTCCCTGCTCTCTCGGGCTCGCGTCGTAGCCCTCCATCCAGCTCTTCTTGGGCCTGCACTAGCGTTACGGTCGTTCGTCAGGCCCCCAGCTGCCTTCTGTTTTTTCCTCGCACGGCTAGTTGTTCGCCGCCGACGCGGCCGCGCGCGACATTCGATCTTGAATTAAATTCGCGCGACACCGGCCGATGCCGGCGCCTTTACTGCTAGCCTCACTGCGGGTGATGACAAAAGACAGCTTCGGGGTGACCGCGCCAAGCATTTAGTACCGAATGCTGGTGCAGCCCAAATGGCTGGAACCCTGTTCGACGAATTTTTCAACCGGTTTGTTGTCCCTAGTTCTCAGATAGCAGCTTGGCGGGTGCAACCGTGCAACCTTGCTGGTCCGATATTGCACGTCAGAGTCTAGACTTGACCGCTCGCGTATATCCCTGTTACCTAGTAAGTTTTACCATGCGCCGTTACTTATCAAGTTGGATTCTTGACCCAGATAAGTCCCGCGCGTCTCGAGCTTCCTCGTTGGTAACGGGGAACCAATGTTATGGACAAGTGGCATGCTAATATGGATATTATGTATTTCTCCAATAGGTATGTATCTGCTCCATTTTATGTACCTACCTACTTTAGGTGGAACTACAAGTGAGCACGTGGTTCGCGGCGACTTCATGGAAGGGGGTATCGACTCTGGCACCAGTTCCAGTCGCTGAAATTCGAACCATGCAGATTTCAGGCATCCGGTCGCCGTGGAGTTCACTGTTCCCACCAAATTTCGAATTTCGAAGATATTCGCCTCCACTGCTGCGCAGACTCAGTCTGATCAGTGATTTGGCCCGAGAAGCTCACCTTGGTCCTGGACCTTGGACCTTGCAACCTTGGTGCAAAGCCTGCTGGCCCGCGCAATAGAATGTGGAGAGTTTCTAGGGCCATATCGGGCGCCTTACTTCAACACTCTCGCTCGCAGGCTTTCCTCCCATTCTGCTTTGTGCTTGGTGATTGCGTCCTATGGATCCGTATGCAGCAGGGAACTATGAGAGGGGGGGACCTTCCAGGAAGACTTCGGGGGCATCGTCGAGAAGGAAGACGTCCCAATCAGTGGGTCCAAAGAGTCCTGTGCCAGGGCCCAGGTGGGCTCAGATTGCACCACCCTGCAGGAGTTCAGGGCGCGGATGCAGATTGGTTGCTGCAGTCCCGCCTCATTGAGTGCACGAGCTCCCGCTCATTGTCAGCTCATCTGGCACCTTTTTGCCAGGCTGACTGTCGCACCGTCGATTCGCAAGTCTGCTGATCAGGGCTGTGCCTTTCGCGGCTCATTTGTGCGTGCGTCGCTGCCCTTTCAGGTCGATGGGCGACCGGACGGTGAAGCGGCTGCGGCTGTCCAAGGCCCTCACTGTGTCGGTCAGCCACAACGTGACCACCGTGTGCCAGAGCATGTCTGCCAGGCGCGTGGATGCCGCTCTGCTCACTGACTCCAGTGCATCGCTGTGCGGCATCATCACCGACAAGGTCAGGAGGAGCGCAGCGCCCAAGGGGCGGCCAGGCGCGGGTGCACCACCCCCCCCCTGCACACTGTTTGAAAGGCACTTGTAAGTTTGTAGAGAAATTGTTCTTGCTTGTGGCGGCTAGAATTGGCAATGCATGGAGCGGCCCGATGCTTCAATCACAGACAGCAAGACATCCTTGTCATGGCCTGCAGGACATTGCCACCCGTGTGATTGCTGAGGGCCTGAACCCGGACGAGACTCTCGTGTCAGATGTCATGACCCGACAACCCCGCTTTGTGGAGGCGGAGTCGAGCGCTGTGAAAGCACTCCAGATTATGGTCACAGGTAGGATTGCAAACACATTCCCCTTGGCAGCCGTGAATACAGTCACTCGACACAAGCCTCAGCACTTTGTGTTGGCTTGCCGCTTTATTGTGTTGCAACAGGGCTTGCCCGTAATGCTGCAAATCGTAGTCCTCACTTGGGCCCAAGTTTTGAAGCTGCGGTCTGAGTGGTCTGAGGGTGGGCTTGTGTGGCGGGTGCGTGCAGGCAAGTTCCGGCATCTGCCGGTGGTTGAGAACAACGAGGTGATTGCGCTGCTGGACATCACCAAGTGCCTCTACGATGCCATTGCTCGCATGGAGCGGGCGGTGGAGAAGGGCACGGAGCTAGCGCAGTTTGCGGAGGACCGCTGGGGCAAGGACGCGGACCTGAGCAGCTACCTCAAGGTGGCGGAGAGCATGCTGCAGCCGACGCTCGCGCAGGTCATCAAGGGCTCCAAGGTGGCGCTCGTGCTGCCCAGCGACAGCGTGCTGGACGCCACGCGCCGCATGCGCGACCTCAAGGTGCACGCCGTCATCGTCGCCACCGAGGGCCGCCCGCTCGGCATCCTCACCTCCAAGGACATCCTCATGCGCGTCGTCGCCGTCGGCCTCAAGCCCGACGAGACCCCCGTGGCCGATGTGAGTGCTCGCACGCGCTGTCTTGCCGCAGGGAAGGCAAGCGGGGTCCTGACGTGTGTCTGCAGCGTAGTGGTGGATGAGGCTGCGCTCTCTTGTAATCCTGTCATGTGGCTCTCTGGATGCCTGAGATCCTTGTCTTCTTTCCTCCTGTGTGACGCTGCGCGTGCCAATGGCAGGTGATGACCAAGAAGCCCGAGACGACCTCGTTGGAGACCACCATCGTGGATGCGCTGCACATCATGCATGACGGGCGCTTCCTGCACCTCCCCGTAGTGGACAAGAGTGAGCCTCTTGTGCGGCGCTCCTGCAGGCTGTCCCCTTCTCTTGCCTCCCCGCCCCACTCTTCCGTGTCTCCCTTGGCACTTGTGCGTCCTTCTCTCTGAGTTCGGCTGCCCCGTCTGGTGTGGCCTTGGCCCCCGTGCTGCCCCCTTTGTGTGCCCCTGACTGGCTCTGCCCTGCCAGGTGGCGGCTGCGTGGGTTGCGTGGACGTGCTCATGCTCACGCAGGGCGCCGTCAACCAGGTGAGCCGCCGCTCGCTGCAGCTCGCCCCTGGCGACGGCTGTGCAACGTAGTGCTGTACGGAAACAAGCTTTGCCGCTTCCTGCGGAGCTGCCCTCCGTGTTGTCTTCCCCGCTGCGGCGGGACCCTCCCTGACATGGCGCTCGCGGTTGCGCGGCTGCGCTGTGCTGCAGGTTTCCAAGGCGGAGAACGAGAGCCCGTTCATGTTGCAGCGCTTCTTTGAGGCGGCTGCCGATGGGCGCGACGAGGACGCGGACAACACCAGGTCAGCACGCGCACCCGCCCACCATGCAGGCGCTTCCAGAATAGATGCTGACCACCTGAATTGAAAGAGCGTGTTTTCTGTGCTCCTAGTCCGACAAGCCAGACAGGTACTGACTTGTAACATTGCTGGCTGGCAACCGAGCTAAATCAACCCAGCGAGGAAACGAAAAGCCAAGCGACACTGATGATCAAAAGGACAGTGAGCCCCCTGCCGGCGAGCCTGGTCGTCTGGCTTGGGCCCCCCCGTTTGCGCAGCAGCCTTTTGTGCCCGTGCCTGGCCCTGCCTCGTGTGGCCCTCACCCCGGGGGTGCCCCCTGGCGTGTGCAGCGTGCAGAGCAGCGAGATGGTGGCCTCGGAGCGGTACCCCGGGCCCGGCGGGCCAGCGCTGCAGACCGTGTTCACCTTCAAGGTCGAGGACAACCTGGGGCGCAAGCATCGCTTCAGCTGCGGTGCGCATCCGCCCCTCCGCTCATTCCGCCTTGCATAGTCACATGCCATTGTATTTGCCCCTGGCCTGGAGCCTGCTGCAGGTCACCAGTTCATCCCTGCCTCAGCGCTTGCGTGCTCGCCCCCGCTGTGCGCCTCTCCTGCCGGCGTGCTCGTGACGTGGCGTGCCGCGTGCAGGGTGCCAGAGCATGGCGGAGCTCGTGGTGGCGCTGTCCAGCCGGCTCGACCTGCCGCCAGCCGCCATCCCGCCAATCTCGGTAGGCTCTCCTCGGGCCCCGCTGCCACATGCTCTTGTCTCGCTTCGTTCAGCAGCACAGATTAAGCGACTTTGTCGTTGCCTAACGAGTGCATCACCCGCCTCAATGGCCGTGCGCTCTGTGTATTTCATCCAACGGCCGCAGCATCAAAGCTCGTGCTGCTGCTGTGCAGTACATTGACGACGAAGGGGACCGCGTGCTGCTGTCCGGTGACGGTGACCTGTCGTCCGCCGTCAATGTGGCCAGGACGGCCGGGCTCAAGGTACACGCCCGCTCGCAGCTCCGTACATGCCCAGCGCTTATCGAGCCGACCTGTACGTCGAACATGCCTGTTTTTCTGAGAGCTTGAAGCTCTGTCACGTCTTTGCACTAGCACTCCAGTATGCTCGGTTTTGACATCTCTCCTATACGGTGCTAAAAGTCCAATCTGTTTTTGCAGAATCTTCGGTTGTACCTTGAATTTGCTCGCGGCTCTCAAAAGGGTCAACCGAAGAATGTCAGTCAAGCAACATCGTCCTGGTCAAGTACAAATACCCTCTTGTTAGCTACAACAGTTGCAGCATTAGGAGTGGCAGCGGCTATCTACCTAAGATCGGAAAGATCCAGGGGCTCGTGACAGGGTACGGTATGTCTACTTAAGAGATGCCAATGCTTATCATATCGTGAAAACAGCTACACGACTCGCTCGAGGATATGCCGTTCAATGTGTAGAAGGGCCGGAATCTGAGTTTGATGTCACTGCCGCGTCGTTGCTCAGCTTTTGGCCTGTACGTATTTGATTGTGACATGCCGTTTGAGCCACTTTCGGAGTTCGTTGAATGCTACATGCGGGCTAGCACCACGTAATTAGGTTTAGTTCATACTAGCGAGAGGCCGGCATGACGGGGTGATGCTTTAATAAGAATTGCAGATTTCCTAAGTGAGTGCAGACGATCGACCCGGTGACCACATGAACCATGTACAATTGCGACGGTGCGTGGCCGGGGTCGATCTCCATGAAAGTCTCTTCTTTTGTGGTAATTTCGGCAATGGTTGCAAGTGTTCTGATATGACATGGCTGCATATGCCAGCGATCGCTTGCATCCGGGCTCTAACACGACTTATACTCTTGATGCGGGCCGGGCTTCATTCACATGCACAAGCTACCTATGGTGGGTCCCGGCCGAGTCGACTTCGACTCGAACCGCGACGAAAATGTGGGACCCCGTATCAAATTTCGTCAGTAGTACCGGCGGTTCACGTTACGACGACTCGGACTTCCGTAACATGTACCCAACGAGTACTTTCAAAATCTTGCTCGGCCGTAACCGAGTGTCATAATGGTGTAACAGAGTGTTTTGATTTACACTTTGACAGAAGCATAAAAATGCCACACTATGAGGAGGCTTATGCAGCTTATAGAAACCTTTGACAAGCAAAAAAAAATGTTGAAAGGGCGTCATTAGAGGTCCTTTGAAGCTCCAACATCATGTTTTGTTCAGGACAAATCTCAAGAAACAGCATAGGAGGCGCAAAGTGGGCCGCCATTGTTGATTTTTGCAGAGCGCCTTTCCTTACACTGCTCTATCAAATTCCTGCACTCTCCTTTCAGTCTGGGTACCGCGGTACTCCTGCGTGGTTCAAGTCGGAATTTCCGACCAAGACCATAAATTTCATAATCGATGTACGCGCAGACTCGAGCGGTACCGTACCTCTGTATAGTACGCACTTGACCGTTGATCGACGTGTCAGAAAAAGTTCAATTCATGAACTCAGACCTGATTCTCAAGTACTGCCGAGTACGGTCGTCAGTGCCGCGTACACAATTCGTCGCGACGCGTAACACCGGTGTAGGAACTTCGAGACCGGACCGTCGCGCGGTCGATACCGTCGAGACCCACCATAGGTAGCTTGTGTGTGCAGCATCAAAGGCCCATCGCGCGCTAGTGTGGGGCTTCAACGCTACGTTTTAGTGTAGACATATATCATGCAGCGCGCAGGTAGTGGATAGATATCTGGAAGTCAATCGTGTCGGGAATAGATCCATGTAATGAGTTCTTGTGTAGCTTACTTTCGTGCAGCATTCTCCTTTGTCTGTGGTCGACGAGTGCGAGAGCCCGGCCTTAAAAGCTATTGCATGATCTCGATCAGTAGCTAGAGCGGCTCCTAGCACTTTCGTAAGCCCAAGTTATCAGAACATGCATGGAGATGTTGCGAGTACAGATGCATGGGCGGCTGGAAGATATCAAGGCTCCTGTATGAATTTGTACAACGGTCAGCCTACGCCGTATAGCGGTTCAGTCGCCACGATTTTGGTCACCCTGATGACGCATGGTGCTGGCTGGCCTGGCCCGCGGCCTGGAGCGGCTTGAGCGAGGCCGCGTACGCGAGCAGGCGCCCGATGCCCTCGATGAACATGGTGCACTCGTGGTCCGACTTGGCCTCAAACTCGAGGTTCTTCCGTCCGGCCCGGATGCAAAAGTGGCGCTGACCCAGGGTGTCCTGCCCGTCCAGGCTCTGCAGCAGCTCCCGCCCCGGCCACGCCGCAATGGCATCGATACCCGTGACAAGCCCTGGGCGGGGGGAAAGGATCGTTATCACACCAGTGGCAATGGGACCTACCAGTTGCTCCACTTCCTTGTCGAGGTGGATAAAGCAGCGAAACTGATTTGCGAGTTCGTGGAAAGCGAATGGTTGATTAGCGGCAACATGAAGTCGCGGGAAACATCTCAAGGAGCTCACATGACAACTTACTCAAAAGTTGGTGCATTATTTGTGACATCTCTTAGAATCCCGGATGAATGAGGTGGATGCCCCGTTTAGGCGGCCCACACGGTGTAGAGCATCAAATATGCGGCGGTCACACGGCGGCGGCGCGCTCACTCTTCTTCCCGCGCATCATGGCGCCCATCACTTTCTTCTGCAGCCGCAGCGCCACACAGCCGTGCCGGTCCACGTACACCGACAGCCGCCGGAAGTGCAGGTCGCCTGCACGGAACACGAGCATGCGCGTCAGGCTGGGCTGGGGCTTCCGCACTGAAAGAGCATTTGTGCTTCGCGACAAGACGGGAACGGGCGGGGGGAGCAGCCACCAGGAGGGCGTTGCCTGCGGGAAACAAGGGCTGCCGCGGGGCCACACTCTGTCCTGGCAGAAGAGGAGCAAGTGCCACCAGGAAGCCGTCAATGCTCGAGAAAGCCTCGAACAAGTCTCCGCGGGTTGGAGCAGTCTCGATTTGCTACCTCTGTGCCATCCAATACTATGACAAGTAAGTAAAGTAGCAGTAGTGTCAACATGGTAGAACTTATCCCCGGCACAGTAAAAGCTAAGGTTTCTATCGGCTAGCGCACAGGAAAGATCTCCTACTTAACGAGAACCGACTCCCCAAAGAATCACGTAACGTAGAAAAGGTTCCGTCGTGTGCTGGCGGGCCGCGCACCTTTCTTGGATCGTTTGAGCAGCTCGTGGCCCCGGCCGAGCGTGGCGGCCATGGCCAGCAGCCCCGCAGTGGACGCCGCCTCGTCGTCGCGCAGACTGTCGCCCTCGCTGCCGTCCTCCGTCGGGGTGTCTGCGCGCGCGGGAAGCAGGCACCACTCTTGTTGGTCCTTTGCTCGATCCCAGACATTGAGGTGCATTTGCAGAGCTTCCTTTGACTTTGGAACGATTATGCGACATCGATTTGCATCCGACATCTTCCTCGACCTCTGCCAATTCTTAAAAAACGCAAGTAGGAAACACGCCAGAGAACATGATCGAAAATTTGATCTCCGTGAACAGCAACTCGCATGTCTTCAAGGAAGCGATTGGACTTTTGGCAATGAAGTCGCGGCTCGCTCGAGCGTGAATGCTCTTAAGATCCAAAGCGCGTTTGGTGTGAATCTGCTCTTCATGCAAGGCTCTAGCGAGCCAGAGAAGGCCGGATGCGGAGCCTGCCCTTCCAGGCGGACCCGTGGCTGGTCTGTCCCTCGTCTCCGGTGTCCGTACCTGACAGCTGGGCGGCGGAGCCGTGTCCCCGCGAGAGGTTGCTCCCGGTGGGCACCACCCGGGACGACGACGCCCGGCTAGGGGGCTGCCGCGCGCGCAGCGTAGCAGAGGCGCGCAGAGCTGCGGGAAGAGACGGGAAACACACCGGGGGTTCGGGCAAGGGAGCGGCGCGGGTGGTCTTGCCCGAACTGTTTACGATTTGGAAGGGAAAGGAACGGTGAACTTCAGGTCTCTTCGACGAATCTGCTAGATATTTCTCCTCCAATTTGCAGGGATGCAGATTTGTCAGTCTACTCAGCACATTCTGTAGTCCAAGAGAAGAGCAGGCAAAGAAACTTGACATGCGCCTATACGGCTGAAATAGGCTACTTCCCCACGGCTTAGAAAGTTTGCTAAGACAGTCTGAAACCTCAAAGAAGCTCAGAAGAGCCATGTGGACGTGCTCTTTGTTTCTCCAGGAGTCGTGCTGTGGCAGCGGTGAGCCGGTGGCCGCGTCACCTGTGGCCGCCTGTGCGGTGGCGGTCACGATGTCCCCCGCGGACTTGACGTTCACCGCGCTGCTGACGACAGCACTGAGGTCCTCCTTGTTGGCGCCGAGGCCCTCCGCCACCTGGGAGAAAAAGAGTTGCCTCAAACAAGGGCGTCTCCAACTTAGCATCCACCCTACCTGTAGAAAGACACCTGCGTTTTGCAAGAGCAGTTAAGAACTCGTTCCAAGTCCTGTTCTGCCTTTGACTACGATGATTTTCATTAAGGGCGTGCGTTCATCTCCATCAGGTGCATCAATGGTCCCTACAACGGTCTTACCTTTTAATTTTCCAGACAATTAATCTAGTATGAGAAGCATCCGGACTATGCAGTAAAGGACCATAAAGAACGACCAAGGCATCGTCTCTTCCGCTGATGTTCGTCGGGCCTCACCTCGACGCACTGCGCTGCGATGAGCGCGGCTGCTGCTGCGACGGCGATGCTGGTCTTGGTGGCGGCCTCGTCGGCGGCGTTGGCGGCCGTGGCGGCCGTAACTGCCGCCACCGCACTCGCCACGCCCGCCACCGCCACCGCCGCGTGCACCCGCGCCGCGTGCGACCGGGTCATCTAGAGCGCGGGCAGCCACCCAACACAAGCAGCTCAGGACGGGCGAGGGCGAGGCTAAGAGGGGCGGCGAGGCGGGGCGGCGGACAGGCCGAGCGGACCGACAAGCACGGGACGGGAGGACTTCTTAGGAACTGACTCCTTGTGATTGGAAGCCCATGTCAACCAGCTCGTGCCTGCTTGTCAAACGAAGGATGACCCTTCGCTGAACTGACTTTTAACGCGAATGGACTCGAGCAATCTCCGCTTTCGAGCGCTTGAATGACGTCAGATCCAACCTTTGTTGAGTTGTGGGCTGTTGGCTGCCGTATGTGATGGTCCTGAGTGAACATTCAACTGTTTCCGATACCCTCACAGAGCCGGAGGCGAGCGCAGCCGTCCACCAGTAGAACAGGGCGACTGTAAGCATCCGGCGGCTGGTGTTGCTCACCTCCTTCTTCCTCTCCTTCCAGTCCTTCCACCATCGCCCCACGGTCTTGGGGCCGCCACTCATGGTCCGGTCCCGAGCGGACAGGCCGGGGGACGGGTAGATCTCCTGCGGGGGCCACACCGAGGGAACACTCAAAAGACCGCGGGGCAGCGGACTAAACAGACCACCTCGTCGACCGCGGGCAGCTCCATCTCAGTGCTATCTTGCGTTCTACCATAGCGGGTGTGAAGGAACGAGCAGTCGGCTGTAGGCCATGCATAGATTCACTACTGCTATAACCTCGCTGTCGTCCGCCTCTTCCGTTAATATCCGTACTGCTGTGGTCTTCTTTGGCCGAAGTCGTATCCAATTATACGAGAATCTGATGCCTCAGAGAGCGCCATGTGTCCTGCTTTCTCACCATGAACGCTGGCGTGGCCGCATGGCCCGGTGGAAGGTCGTCGCCGTGTTGGAGGGAGCCCCGCCGCGAGTACGCGGCCCGATCGCTTGGCTGGAAGGAGCGACGAGGTTACATCAGTGTGGCGCCTTCTGTAGGACCAGGGGCGAGCCGGTCTACCATGCAGATATAACGCCAACTTCCAACGTAATCCGAGTGGCCGCAGTGGTGAAGACTTCGCTTGGACGTGTTCGCTGTCTTACCGATTGTTTCGGCGGTTGCAAGATCTGCTCCAGGACCGCCGAGGCGCGGTCAGGGCTGGCGAAGGCGAAGGGCGCCGTGGCCAGCTCGGACTCGTCGGCGTCCTGTAGAGCGCCCTGCAGGCAGCAGACAGGCAGCGTACCGGATGGGTCCACGGGGGAGAGCGACTGGCGAAGGAACCAGGAGCACTGCTGGACCGGTGCCTGAGCGCGCAGGCGAGGCCAAGCCTCGACGACACTGTGACTGGTTTAATACGGGTTGCACCTATGTTTCTGATGCTGCAAGCAACCTATAATTCTCGGTCACTGAATTGGGTTCTTGAGCTGTGAATTTGGGGAGGGACATAGGAGGTCACCTCGAGAGCCAGCCGTGGATCCAAGGGCGTTGCGCTCTCCGCTTCGCCCTCCCCCCCCGGCCCTTCGTCCGTGGCCCATTGCCTCGGCTCGTAGTCGGCCCCGCTGGTGGACGTGCCGGGGGACATCAGCGGGGACGAGTCTCCGTGCTCACTCTTGGCGCCGGTCGTGACGTCCTCAAAGAAGAGGGTGTCCAGCACGGAGACGTTTGCGATGCTCGGCGCCCGGCTGTGGCGCACGTTGTTGGCCAGGTGCGCCGGGAGAGCGCTGGGCGGCGGGGACGCGCCTCCATGCGCCCCGCCCAGCGTGAGCGTCCCTCTGCGCGGCCGGTGCACGCTGCCCTCCGCGTCTGGGGCCGCCTTCCTCTCGTCGTTCTGCATCCTGGCATGTGGCGCGGCGCAGAGGAGCTCGCGCGTGCGCTTGGTGCTCCCGTCGCTTACCTGCAGGCAGGCACCAGTAACAGATCGGCCTTGCGTTACGCAGCGTGGGACAGCGGATGTCCCTTGCAGCATTCAGCAACGTGTTCAAGGAGCACCCAGAGAATCCCATATTGGTAAGACTGGCAATCCAGGAATGTCTGCCGCGTACACTGTTTTATCATACTAAGTATCCTGTGACTTGTAACTGCAGTTCGAGCTGCAGTGATTGACCACTGAACTTGCTCGGCAGATGGAAGATAGTACAAAGCTAAGTGATTCCATCTTGAGGTTTGAACTTTCTCCTACTATTTCCATTTCTGCAAGAATACGCTTTTGAGATTTTCAAAGCTGCTGTACAAACGACGTCAAATGGTCGTTGACAGCATTGCACATTGTATCCATTGCAAAGTCACTGCTGCACTCAGCAGTACAGTCAGTCCATCTCCATTACGCCAGCAATCTAAGTGCTCACGTTGCTTCTTCCTTGGATAATTCGTGGGGTAAAACTGTAATGATTCCTTGCTCGACCTGACTTGCAACCAATGTGTAGGCTCTCAAATCACATCTGCTACAGTTGCTGCCTTGTCCGCCAGCAGAGCCCCCAGCTAGATCTTCTTAACTGAGACTGAACGAAGTTCACCTCAATGGTACATCATCCTTGACACAATGACAAAAGTCTGCCGCTTTGCTCTCCGCTGATAAATTGCATTGGCCCAGTGGCCAAGAAAAGAGTTTTTCACAATCCGCAGTCTGGAGCAAGGTCCTCATGTGCTTTCCTGCCCGTGACTGTTTGGAGGCCCCGCAAGGGATGTTTATTCGACGGTGTGAGATTGCATGCCGTTGGCTTGCATGTTGAACTACCAGAACTGGATCGGAAGTGTCTTTCCAAAACTTCCTATGAAGGATCAAACATACCGCGTTGCAGGAAGTCAAGCTTACAAAATTGCTCCGATGAAGCAGCACCTATTGGAACCTAGTATACACTTGAAAATCAGGATGATACCTCCATCTTTTCAGATCTTACTTTCGATTCACCATCCCCGTCTTTTGATGTCCGTGCCAAGTTGGGCAGCTGGATCTATCATCTCCTTCGCCTCTCATCACATTGTTGGGATCTCCAGAGGGATTCCGCTTGCGGGTTTCTTTCTCCTTCGTCGTAGCAACCTAGCGGATCAATGCAGAACCTCCGATAGGCGTTCCACTCGAGAATATCTTAGGTTGATGCCTGGTATTGGGTCTACAAAGCTGACCTATTCACCGTGAGGCTTGCCCGGCAGCCCACACATCCATGTGGCTTTGTAAAGCTCTATAGTAGTATGGCAAACGGGCGGTACAACTGGCGGACGGCCGGGCCACCAGAAGCTCTGTAGGCCTTCGAAGTCGTTGACTTATTGCGATCGGAGACCCTCACGCGGCCAGCCAGGAAGACAAGAGGCGCATGCAGCTGCCTGTCGTTGGCGGTCAACCCCGGCGTTAGCCAGTCCCTTCGTGCTCCCCACCAGCGGTCCCCCTGAGTCTGAAGAGCCGCAGGCTCAAAACTACTGATCTCCAAAGGTGCTCTGATCAGACCGATGCATGATGACTCAGCTCAAGAGCCAGCGCGCTGATCAGGTATCACGAGACTGCATTGACTCGATGCAGTGCAATGATGCACGGATCCGAATATTATCCTACGTCTTCTGCATCGGATATCCTGCTGACGCCAGAGCTGCTCGATACTAACAAACTGTAGATTCAAAGTACCTACTCAACCCAGACTCACGGCCGTATCGAGAAAACCTCTCGTAACGGTAAAGCCATCGGAAGCATATTGAACAAATTGCTCGATACGGCCGGCCGTGTATCGATCAAATTGCTCGTTTTCTGGTAGCGCCTATTGGGAAAAAGTCTCGATTTTTGAAAAGCCCCGGGCACACACAAAAAAAAAAGTACTTGCCCGGTTGTCACTCGCAGTGGTGTAACCCTAAGGCGGGAATGCCCGGTTGCCCCAGGTAGTTGCTCGGTTGTTCGCCGGTTGCCCGCGAGACCCTAATGTCACAGGGAGGGCCCGGTTGCTTCTCGGGTGCCACGGTCCCTAAACTACTAGTCTAGAGGGGAAGTGTCCGGTGTCCCCGGGGAGTTGCACACCCCGACCAACCACCCATAGGGGTACCGTCCTTTATGTACCGCGATCCTGGCGGTCGTGTGGACCGATGTTGTGGGTCGCGGCGATCACCTGGATCGACGGCGGAAATCGTCCGGACCGACCCCTGAAAGTACCGGAGATCTAGGCGCCTCGGTCCAAAAAAGGGATAGTAGCAATCCAGGCCGATTGAAATCGAGGCCGATCCAGGCCGGACGATCCAGGCCGTTGAAAGTTTTGACCGGGTTGCACCCTGATACCCTTGGTTACCGGTCACAATGTTTCCAGCCTGGTTTTACCCCATGCCCCTTGGGCCAGAGGGCCCGTACAACCGGTCGCCTCGAACATCTTACGGGGCAACTGACTCAGCGGCTATAAGCAGGATTTTCCTTAAGTTACAAGCAGACAATTTTACATTTAATTGTTTGAAAAATCTTGCGGCATCTTGCGGCAAGCCAAGCACAGTTACAAATTACGGCTACGGCTACAGTTACAGTTACAGTTACAGTTACAGTTACATGCACGGTCACGGTCACGTCCAAGGTTATAGTTACAGTTACTACAACTGTAGTGTAGTCACAGTCACAGTCACAGTCACAGTCACAGTCACAGTCACAGTTACAGCTACGTAGGTACACTATGGTAATAGGTAACTTAGCTGGTAATAGCTAACCACAAGTGCACAAGGCATAGTCATTGCTACGGTTACACTTACCGGTACAGTAACAGTAACAGGTACAGTCACACTCGGCGGCAAAATGCTTACATATTGCCTATTGATACTCCAATATTTCTTGTCGAGCATATTATATATCCAATTTCGACATCTCCTTTCAATCATCCCGGCAAGTCTGCCTAAAGCACTCGGTTTGCGAAGGCGTGCGGATGTCCGGCCAGGACTCGGGAGGCCGGCTCAGCGGACATTTAATAACGAAAACTCCAAATACATAGTAAACCCTCCAATATGGCCCTAACTCTGAACGGCCTGGATCGCCCGAACATTCCGGGCCTGGATTTCAATCGGCCTGGATTGCGACTATCCCCCAAAAATCGAGCAAATTGCTCGATAGGGCATTCTGCGTATCGAGCAAATCCTCCAATATGGCCCTAGCGAATACGATAAATTTGTCCAATACGGATCTACGGACATCGAACGATTTGCTCGTAAAACCAAAATGGCTTTACGAGGGTTTTTCTCGATACGGACCGTGAGTCTGGGTTGACCTACTATACCTGAAGGAAGTATCGACCATTTGACTTGATCTTGGAGGCCCTGGTCAGACACTGCCGCATGACAAGTACTTTCGCTCGCGCACCATTTCAAGCGCCCTACTTGTCAAACGCCTCGGACGGCTGCGATCTCACATTCAAATTTCATCGGACGGATTGTCGTCGTGTTTTGATCGCAGTGCCCCCAATGATAGGTCCCGGATAGGATAGGTACATGCTCGCATGCTGCTGCAGCTCGGTGGTGAATGGGCCATTCACATATTTTCTGCATGAGCTGCTCAGCTGTGTTTATGCCAATCAAGGAGAGAGAGATGCTTCGCCTTTAGGTCCTTCTCAATCAGGATGGCTCTTGCGCAATTCCCTCACCATGGCGTGTTGCTATCAAGTTCAAGGCTTGTTTTCAGAAGAATGTGAGTGGAAGCTTTGAGCGTTTTCTGGCTCTTAGCCAGATAGGTTTCCAAGAAAGGATTGCATCGTTTCAAGTTTCTAATCAGCACAAGTTGTTCGCCTGCAGCCATCACATGTATTGTGATTCTGTTAGCATCTCTGATTGAATGAAGCTACAACCATCCATTTGTTCTTCTATTCTCCTTCTTTCAGGTTTGCAAGCGTGCCTTCATTTGCGACTCTGGACCCAGACGCGCTATCAGGCAGCCAGCCAGGCACCGCCTACAATCTCGGTAGGCAGTGCGGACACCTGTGATTGCTTGGTGGTGGTGGGCAGGGGGCAGTTTTGCCGTCCGCTAGGGGCACACGCTAGCCTCAGAGACAGCAGGGCTGATTGGCAGTGAATCTGATTGAGGGGCGGGCCATTGGTGCAGCTGGCCTTGTCTTGACAGCTTCCAACAGCTGCTCCGATTGCCGTAGGTCCCGTCTCAACTTGCAGGCAGCTTCCAGCGTGCCACCGTCGTTGACCACCTTTCATTGGCCGCATATTTGTCCTGCCCCACCGCGTGGCCACCTGATCATTTCTCCCTGTGCAGTTGGTGGCGAGTGGACGTCATCTGCATCGGCAGTGCCTATCCCGGACCCCCTCACAGGGGAGCCCTTTCTGACCATCCCCAATACCCAGCGCGATGAGTGTGCGGTGAGTGCGGGCACCCACAGCTTCCTGCAAGAGGGGGATGCTGCTCACCGAAGCTCTGGCCCAAAGCGACCTGCGTGCAGCACTGATGACACTAGTGGCACCTGCCTGTTCCCCCTCCCCCTTCCCCCCTTGTCCCACTCGTGCCTCTCGTTCCCCCCGTGCAGCCATTCATTGCGAGCCTGAAGAGCGTCCCCAAGTCTGGCCTGCACAATCCGTTCAAGCACCCTGACCGGTGAGCCTTGTGGCTGCGCCTGCCGCCAGAAGCTGCTGGCGTAGTCTTGTCCGGAGCGGCGCCTTCGCTGCTCTGTCTTGAGGCCAGGCCTGCCATGCTGCATGTGTCTGGGCATGCTGGCGGGGCGGGCGTGGCAGGCTGGGCCTTTCTCCTGGGCGCTGCGTGACTCTCCCCTGCCCTGCTGCAGCTATGTGGCTTATGGCGCCATCTCTGCTCGCGTGGCGGCCATGCTGCGCGAAGATGCCACCGCGCACTTCTTTGCCCGCCTCATCCAGCGGGTGTCGCCCAAGAGCCTGCCGCAGGCGCTGGGGGAGGTGGTCGTCACGCGCAAGTTCTTCGAGGTTAGCGCCCCCGCTACCGCCCCCTACAACAGGAGGCACCTCTCTCTGCTGACCTCCATTCTGGCCCCGGGCTGCAGGCTGTGCTCAGTGGTGCCCCCCCGGGCCTTGTGTGCTCCTGCTGCGCTGGCCGGCTGACACGTGAGCGTGGTTGTGTGTGGCGCAGAATTTCTCGGGGGACCAGGTCCGCTTCCTGGCGCGCTCGTTTGCCAACCCTGGGGACCACTCCGGCCAGCAGAGCAGCGGCTTCCGCTGGCCGTTTGGAGCGGTCAGCATCGCCACCCGCCCCTAGGCTGGCCCCACCCAGGCGGCACCCATGCTGCCAGCATCTTGCGTGCTCTGTGCTTTAAACGGTGTGGCGAGAGGCCCTCTTGCGATTGAACAAAGAAAGCTGGAGTCAGTGTCGTTTGCTTGCTGGGTTTCCCCGCTCCGTAGCTGCGCGGCCCCTTGCTGACAGCGCGGCGGGCGTGGCAGGTGGCGCTGATCACGCCGTTCAACTTCCCGCTGGAGATCCCCGCGCTGCAGCTCATGGGCGCGCTCTACATGGGCAACAAGCCGCTGCTCAAGGTCGACTCCAAGGTACGCCCCAGCGCGGGTGGCCACCAGGGGCTGCCCAGCGCCACGGGCTGGGGGAGGCACACCGAGGCCCTGAAAGGGTCCCGCTCAAGGACCTTCTGGATAAAGCTGGGGCCCGTAGATGTCGGTAAAATGGTCAAGTCGCCACAAAGAAAGTCTTTGTACACCACCTATGATGGTCGGACAGGTTTCCAGAGGAAGGGTCTGTCCATTGACCTTCTCCCAAATTCGTCTTCTTTTCGGGATCATCTCCTTCACGCTCGCTTTGAGCACCAGCAAGCCTCCAGTGCCTGTCATGTTGCACGTCTGGTCCTTCATGCGCAAGTGACGTTCGTCTCCCCCCTCCTTCCCGTTTGCCCTCCTCCCCTCCTCCCGGCGACTCGTCCCGGCCGCCCTCGCTGCCTTGGCGTGCCTGTGACGGGCGCTGCTTGTGCGTGGCTGGCCGCAGGTGAGCATTGTGATGGACCAGTTCCTGCGCCTGCTGCACGCCGCGGGCATGCCCCCCGCCGACGCCGACCTGCTGCACTGCGACGGGCCCACCATGCACCACCTCCTCCTCCAGGTCAGCACCCCCCCTCACTCCCTGCCCGCCGTGCCTTGCGCCTGCCCCTACGCTCGCATCTCTCGGCTACCCCGCGCCTCCCCTTTCCGCCTCCCGCCCCCCTGACCCTGCGTGGCGGTGCGCGTGCAGGCGGCGCCGCGCAACACGCTGTTCACGGGCAGCAGTGCGGTGGCGGAGCGGCTGGCGGGGGACCTGCGCGGGCGCGTTCGCGTGGAGGACGCCGGGTTCGACTGGAAGGTGCTGGGGCCGGACGTGGCGGCGGCGGAGTACGTGGCGTGGCAGGCGGACCAGGACGCGTACGCGTGCAGCGGCCAAAAGTGCTCCGCGCAGTCCATCCTGTTCATGCACCAGGTCCGCAGCACACGCAGCGCCGGCCGTGGGGCGAACAGGGGGCTCGCCCTCGTCTGACCGATGGCAACTGTCTGCGAGGCCCCGAGTCCCATGGTGGCCCGCAAGTGATGTGCAGCTTGATTGGATTCGGCATAGGCGAACCCTTTCAGTGCTTAGTCGCGGGCCTCTGCTGCTCACCGCTCGCCTCATCTCCGCTTGCAGAACTGGGTGGAGGCAGGCCTGGAGCAGAAGCTGGCTCAGCGCGCCGCGCAGCGCCACCTCGACGACCTCTCCATCGGGCCCGTGCTCACAGTGAGCCCGCTCGTCCTTTCCCTTCTCGCCCCGCCTGTTCTCCGGCTGCCCGCACCTCTCCCCCGCCGCCCCAGCGTGGCACCTGCTTGCGTGCCTCTCCTCATTTCTCCTTCTGCGGTGGCGCGTCCCTGCTCGTGCCCGCCTGCCCTGACCCCCGCGCGCTCCTCCTTCCCCTGCGTCCGTGTCTCGCAGTGGACCACCCCCCAGCTGCTGGAGCACATTGCCGCGGTGCTGCAGCTGCCGGGGGCGCGCCTCGCGTTCGGCGGCC